TTGGAAATAATCAGAACCCTAGATTCTCAGCATTTCAAATCTTTGGAATCTGTAAGATTCCTAGATTTTCAGAATCATAAAATTTCAGAATTTCCAAACTTCAGAACCCCGGAATCTCAAAGTATCTCAGAATCTCAGACTCTTAAAAAATGGAATCTTAGGATTTCAGAATCTCAGAATCTCAGAATCCTATAACTTTGGAATTTTTGAATTTTTAAATCTCAGAGTCCCAGAATCTCAGATGTTCGGAATTTCGAAATTTCGAAATTTCAGAATCTTAAAATTTCAAAAATCTGGCAATCCGAGAATCTGAGCATCTTGAAATTTCAATATCCGGGAATCTCAGAAAAATCTTAGAATCTCAATCCTCCAAAAAATCCTCTTTTCCATTTTCCAATTTTTCCTAGTTTTTCGATCTTTTCAATTGTATTGATTTCAATGTTTCTTAACTGTCTAATTTTTTTTGGATTTCTCAATTTTTCGATGTTCGTGTTTTTTTTTTCTTTGGAAATTCCAATTTCCCATGATTCAAAATTTTTTGGGATTTCCAGGATATCTAGATAGTTTAGGACCCCCAAAATCAGAAATCCCAAAATTAGAAGAATATTTGAAGAATGTTCCAGAACTTTGCAAAATCTAAGATGATCTAAGATCCTTCGGCTAGTCTTCTCATCATGCTCTCCCAACTTCCCCCTCCTAATCCAAAATTCCAGCATTTTCATTTTCCACTCAATTTCCGTTATTTCTCTCCCACTTTTCCCATTTTCTCCCCATATCCCTCAGTACTCCTCACTCGTCCAATCGCGACGACATTTTCAAAAGTGCCCGCCCACATTTCGCTGTCTCTTCCGTTCTTTCTAAGACCCGCCCCGCCCAATTGTCCCCTTGGAAGGAAGAAGAGGAGGATATTGAGTAGGGTGTGTATCATCTACATCATCATCATAACTACTTCTTTTATACGACCTGTTGAGGTTGGGCGTTTTCTCATTTTTGAGGTTCCTGAGTTTCTAAGGGATTCATATCTTTAAGATCTCCTGTTTTATAATGTTCGAGCATGTTAAACTGATTTGGTTATCTAGGTCAAGTACCTGGGTTTTTAAATGGTTCTTATCTTTAAGGCTCTGGAGAATCATTCAAACTTTTTAGACAGCCAAGCTCAGATTCTTAGAAGCTCATACCTCAAAGAAGCCTACCTTGTAATATACCATTTCCCCCTTTGAGCTCATATATCTCGGCTCATTTAAGAGATATCAAAAAGTAATTTATTGATAAAATGCTAAGCGTAAAATTTAAAACATTTTGTCAGTTTACAACATTTTGATATCTTTCACAGGAGCTGAGATAAATTGGATCAAAGTTGATAACCAATTTTCTAAGGCTAGGTAGGCTTTTTACTAGGAGATGCTCATTTTATGGTGTTTCTCATCATATTAAAAGTCATATTTTCTTTTTTTTTGCTTTTTGAAACTTCGATTTCCTTTAAAACATTATTTAGGGATCTCAGCATATTATCCCAAGACGGTATACGTCTTTAAAACCGTACCCCCGTGGAAGTTGCCCAGCTGAACACAACTTCAAGCTTCTTCCACTACACTAGGCGCATCTCATTAGAGCGCGTTTGCATTAAAAAAGTGTCAACTTCAAAATTAAAACCCTATTCTTGTTTAGTATACTCTGAAATTGTCAAGAAGTTAGGACAATTTCTAAGACGTCTTAACTTGATGAATCGTCAAGGTTATCGCGCACTAGGCAGCCCATCCCGAGTAACCGCTTTTAAAGGCGCATATCTCTTTTCGCAGGATTTTGATCAAAAAACTGTCAAATACAAAATTAGAGCTCTATTCTTGTTTAGTATACTCTGAAATTTTTAGCGAAATCGGATAGGGCCAAAGTGCGCTGACTCATTTGGCCCCTCCCCTCCCTCCTTTGGAAATTCTAAATTCCAAGATTCCAGGACAGGTGTCTCATCCTTCTTTCTTATAAATCTTTCTTATATGTGTGCCATCAAAAATTCAGATGACACCTTTCTCCTATTGTCTTCTTCTTCTTCTTCATCGTTTCGGAGCTTTCTTCTTCTTCGGACGTCTTCTTCTTCTTTTTCTTTTCTTCTTGTCCCCCAAAAATGCAAATTTATATGATGAAAAATTCATTGTATTCTTCTTTCTTTTCCATTTCCATTGACTTCTAGACGTTTCACACCTTTCTTATGACGTATAGAATCTCAGATGTCAACGTCTTCTTAGATTAACCACCCCTTAGGTTTGAGCCCTGGTACTTAGATTGGTAGACGGCTAAAAACTCGGTTTTTGCGCCTCTTAACTAAATTTTTTTCCCAAAAATTTAGAGTGAATTTTGAGATGTCGTAAAATTCAAAAAGAAGGAAGAAAGATGTCATCTTTGTCACCTTGGAGACTCCCAGACATTGAGATGTACTAGTTTTCCCATTTCACACTTTATACTTTTTGGCTCCGCCCCCAAGAGCACATTTCGTGTCTAAGATGACGTGGAAGAAGAACACAACATCTACCGTATGCCTTCAGAATCTTCTCTATTTTCATCTTCTTCTTCTTCCCCGACGCCTTCTTCTTCTTCTCCACAGAGACCCATTACCTAAATTGTTTCTTGTGATGAAAAACGACGGGGCGGCGCATCTGGTGTCTCCAGAAGAGAGAAGAAGAAGGAGCAAATCTCTTATTTCGGGGAATTGATGTCGAAAATAAATTGGTTTTCTTTCTCCGGAAAAGCAAAATTTTGGGGCTAGAAATCCCCTTCGAATCTCCAGAAGCGCCTGAATTATGCTGGGAGATCTGGGGGGCAATTTTTAAGCTCTGAATATCTGTAAAAATCGACTTCCAGATGTTTTAAAATTTAAAATTTTAAAGAAATTCTACCGTACTACATTTCCTTTTTCGATTCGTTCAAATATATTGAGTTTACATTTTTCCATATTTTTTGAAGAGCTGCAATTTTTAAAAAATTTAGCTGATACTTTTCCGATTTAGCTGAAATTTTTGTAGTAAACTAAACACAACCAGAGCTTTAATTTTGTAGTTGACGGTCTTTATAAGATATATCAAAAATGTGTCAACTAATAAAATATTGGTGATATTATGACAAACATTTTATCAGTTGAAACATTTTAAATATTTTTCACGAGAACTGAGATAAGAGAGCTGACAGTCATTCATAGCCGCCGCTCTTCGCCCGGCGGCTTGACTACCAACTTTGAGCTTAATTATCTCAATTTCTATAAGAGATATTAAAAAAGTTTCGATTGATAAAATATTGCTGATATTATGATAAACATTTTATCAGTTGACAAAATTTTTATATCTTTTTTAGCAATTAAGATAACTGAGCTCAAGGAGCAAGTATAGGGTGGCCTTCTATTAGAGGGTGTTTAAGGTTTTTTTTTCGAACAAATTCCTAAAACTCAAGAATTTCTATTTCAAACTCCAAAAATTGAAATCAGCACCTTTTAAAAGCTAACAAAACCTTTTTCCCGAGCTCATTTGAGCTCTTCGTCCATCTGGTTGAGTGCGATTTTTGAAAACTACCAATCTCACTACCCGGGTTCGAACCACACCTTCTCATTTTCTCTTTTTCGTTCTTTACCGAAATAGAAAATCATATTCTCAAAATCCAATATCCAATATCTTTTCCTCCATTCATTGTTGCTCAGAAATGTGCTCAGCACAGTGGGGGTGCTATTGAATTCCTACTATTATATAATACATTTGAAGTGTGGTGTAATAGCAAAGAGGAGGGATTACTGTACCTGAAAGCCTTCAGGGAAACAACTTCAGAATATAGACTCGTAGGTGTGTCGGGGGGATTATGGTAATTTTCTTGTGTTTATGAGTGATATGTGGACCTCTTACAAGTCACTTGTCTTCGCAATACACACATTTGCATAATCTTTACCGTTATGATGATACCTGATCGCTTCCGATTAGACCTCTGTTTTTTGAGAAACTTCTAGAATATCCTGAGAGAGAAAGGGAAGTTTTGCGGTGTTCTGTAACTCTCAAAAACTAGCTAACACTTTTAAAATTGATTTTAGAACTTCATTTTCATGATTGGTACTTTAAATCCACCTTGTCAGCACTTTGACCCTCTGAAACACTGGCTCAACTTTTTTCGATTTATTTGAAACTTTGACAATATACTAAACAAGAATAGAGTTTCAATTTTGTAGTTCAAAGTTTTCTGATTAAAGGTTGCCCGAGAGAGATATGAGCCTTTAAAACTAGGTGCCCTAAACTGAGTGGTTTAATGATAATCTTGTTAAAATGCCTCGAAATCTGATTTGCATTTTTTTTTTCTAATTTCCTGAAAACTTTAGAGTATACTAAACGAAAATAGAGCTTCATTTTTGTAGTTGGCACTGTTTTGATAGGAATCCACCAAAAAGAGATATGCGTCATTAAATTCCCAACCCCCCTTGGTGGGTACCCAGTTCGCCACAACTTCAATCTTGTTCCAACGAAGCGTATTTCATTAGAGCGCGTATGTATCAAAAAGTGTCTATTCCAAAAATAAAGCCCTAATCTAGTTTAGTGTACTTCAGAATTTTCGAAAAGTTGGGACAATTTCTAAGACCTTAACTTGATGATTCGTCAAGGTTATCGGCGCTAGGCAGCCCATCCCAAGTAACCCTTTTTAAAGGCGCATATCTCTTTTCGCAGAATTTTGATCAAAAAACTGTCAACTACAAAATTCAAGCTCTATTTTTGTTTAGTATATTCTGAAAGTTTCAGTCAAATCGGAAAAATTTGAGTTGTTTTATCCGGGCTTCCAAAGAGTCCGGGCTTCCTTAGAACTTCCATTTGGATTTTCGTTACTTCCCTTCTTTCCTTTGGCCTACTTACCGCCTTGTTATCTTTTCTTTCCACTCTAACAATTCGAAGTTCCAACATTTTCCAGACCAAAAAATAGAGAGAAGAATCGACGTCATCTAGAAACACACAAAAATCGATAGACTACTCCTCGTTTCTCCGATGTCATCTGGACTGCCACAACTTCTTTCGGCCGCCCCACCAGCAGCCAACGGTTTCAACTTGCCAATTGGCTTTCCCACGTTCCCATACATCTTTGGTCCTGGTGGTCAACCGGTGAGCAATATTCAGTCTTCTGGAGGCGGCGTCAACAATCGATACAAACAGAAGCGCCATCGGCAGAGAGTCGACGCCGGCGAGCCAAGGAATACGTATCAGGTGAGATTTGGGGTTATGAGTGAGAAGGAATAATTATAGAGCTTTAAAAAAAACTAGATTCTCTGTTTTAATCCATTCAAAAATCTTAAGTTTGAAGCGAGTTACAGTAATTCGAAAAAGTACCAAAAAGCAGTGTTTCGAACTTTTTCAAAAAAATCGCAACTTTTTATGAATCACGAAATCTAGCTAACACTTTTCTCATTAAGCTGAAATTTTGAGAACGTACCAAATAAGACTAGAGCTTTAATTTTGTAGTTGATACTTTTTTGATAGAAATCCGTCTAAAGGAGATATGCGTCTTTAAAACCATGAGCCTATTACGTTAGCTCCCCTCCCCCTCTCTCTAACTTCCAACTTTGAGCCAATGTATCTCGGTTCTTTTAAAAGATACCAAAGAAATTTCAACTAATAAAAAGTTTGTGATAAGATTTCCAACATTTAATCAGTTGGTTACTTTTTGATATCTTTCATAGGAATCGAGATAATTAAGCTTGTAGTATAGCTAGCTGTGAGCTATGTGATGCTTGCAGCGCAATTATCTCGGCTCCTGTAAAAGGTATCAAAAAATAGTCAATTGATAAAATGTTTATCACAATACTACCAACATTTTATTATTGGGCTTCTAATAGAGCGTATACAGTAAGCCTCTTCCTCTAATTTACTTTAAAGAAGTTATAGCTGTATGCTGAACTATAAATCTATAAGAGCTGTAGCTCCATCTCCTCCCTCAATCCACGTGTTTCCTAATTAGCAAGTCGACTTGTAACCTCCAAGGGAATCGCTCTCTTTTCTTTCCAATTAGCATATATGCATTTCGTGGCTTAATCAGTGTTCCCCTCCTCCTCTGTATCGTATATCAATATTCTCCAGGGTATGTCCTCAAACACATCTACCTCATCTACAAGTTCCACGTCATCATCCACATCTTGCTCGAATTCATCTAAGACGCCGTTGGATTTGGCGCTAGTCAAAACGGAAATGATTTCGACGTTGTCGCCCCCACTACAAACGGTATGTGTATTAGATTAGTAGAAGGATTAGCCTCATAACTTCCGAAACTTTAGGAAAATGATTCAAAGTCCTTCAATGAATCTGATGAAGCACAGGAGATTGAGGCGATGAAGGCGGAGAATGATGCGGCTCTGGAGGAGCAGGATGAGATTGATGCGGACTATGAGGAAGAAATCAATCATCAGATTGCTGAAGATGGTGAATTGGACATACGAGAAGAGAGTCCCGAGAGCAACGGAAGTTCGAGTTCGGCATCGAAGAGGAAGAGTTTTCAGCCGCAGAAAATTGGAGAGGAGTTGGGAATTGAGCTTGGAGAAGGTAAGGAAGCATTTGGGGGTTGTTAGGAGGTACAGAAAAAGTTTAAAAAGAACTTTACTCCCAAGAGGAGTCGAACTCGCGAGGCTTCGCCTGCTATGCAAAAGCGTTAGCCACAACGCCACGGCTCCCTCTACCGATCCTTGCGAGGAGGGTGGTGATAAACAAAGGGGAGAAGGGCATCGCTAGGAACTCGTCGTGACAAACTCAAAATTTCCAGAAACCGAACAAATCAATGTCACCGTGGGAGGCACATCAGAAGACGTCGCTGACGACGTGACAGAGGAAACGGATACCAAAGAATTCTCAGCGCTCCAAGCACAGCTGCAAAATGGAACGCAGACGGACCAACAGAAATTCTATGCGGCGTTTCTGGAGCAACAGAAGAAGCGGTTGATGGCGGTGCATGTATGTTTAAAAAATAAATTATTCATTTGAAAAAAAACATTCAGATCGCCCAATCAAACAAACTGAACACAGAGCATCTAATGTCTATGTTAAAAGGAGAAGTTGTAGACAATCTGTTCAAGAGTTTCGAGAAGATAATCAAAGAATGGGCTCAACAGGAGGTGCTGAAAAATCAAGAAGCCACCGCAGCTCCACCACAAATGCCAATTCCACAACCCGCTCCATTCCATCCCCTTTTTCCGCCAAACCCACTCTTCCATATGCCCCCTCCGCCGCGTAAGTTTTCTCCTCCTTCTTATACGCAATCAGGTGAGGAAGTGAAATGTCGGCCGAATGGTCTAGTGGTATGATTCTCGCTTTGGGTGCGAGAGGTCCCGGGTTCAATCCCCGGTTCGGCCCATTATTTTTGTTTTCTTTTTAGGCTTATTTAAATGACCCTTATTAATATGTTGGTGTTTTCAGACCCTATGAACAGCGGAGGCGGGATATTTCCCCCAAACTTCAACGCGTTCAACGTTTTCTCCGCACTCCGCAGGCCGCAACAAGACGGCGGCGACGAGCCGAAACGCAAACGGACACGAATCGATGTCAAAAAAGAAGACGTTGCAAGCAGTAGCCGAGCATCGCCAATCAGTGTGTCAGCAAGCCCTCCATTGGCCAGATTCTACCCAGCACCCACAATGGTTGGCCATCATTTTGGAGCCATGCATTTTGGAGACCGCGACAACTCGCCAACGAATTCAGATGAGCTCAGCGATTGTGGATTCGAGGGAAATGGATCGAGCTCAATGTTGACACCAATGCATCTGCGGAAGGCGAAGCTTATGTTCTTCTATACTCGATATCCAAGCTCCAACCTTCTCAAATCCTATTTCCCGGATATTCGTTTTAATAAGAACAACACTGCTCAACTGGTGAAGTGGTTCAGTAACTTTAGGTAAGCTTCTGCCTTTTTAATTTTAGAAAAATCGATTTTCGAATTTTATGAAAAAAAATTTTCATCCTAAATTTTTCTTTTCCACGGCACCCTTTATCCTCGGCCAGCTCCCATCGAGCTGCCACCGCGCGCTCCTTTATAACCGCCTTCTCTCGCCTTACTCTCGAAGCACGCGTGGCCTAGTGGCTTGTCGTTTTATCTACCAATCTCAACACCCGAGTTCGATTCCATCCTTTGCCAAACTCCTTTTGCTATTTTGTATGGCTACTAGGAGTGACCTTTATATAAGAATCTTCAGGAATAATGAGATTGAAATACAAACAAATCTCCCTTTTCCTGTTCCCCTAACTCGTTTCCGTCGACGTCTTCTTCTATTCTCCAAACAATAGGTCGATGGGGTCTTAAGGTGTTGATACGCGTCGTTGGCGACCAAAAGAAGGAAGGAGAAGAAGAAGACGTCGTCTTCATCATAAAAAAGATTATTACATATATTTTATTTGAGAAGATTCAGGGGGAAAATTTTCGGAAATTGTAAATAGAACGGAAGTTATAAAAGCGGGGGTTTATTTGACTTGAAAAAATGACCATAACTGAAATTTTTCCAGAGAGTTCTACTACATTCAAATGGAGAAGTTCGCGCGTCAAGCGCTCTCCGAGGGAATTTCAGACCGATCTGAAATTTTTGTGTCCAAAGATTCGGAACTCTTCAAAGTGCTCAACACTCACTACAACCGCAATAACCATATTAAGGTGATTTTGAAAATATTTAGAAATTTTAATTTTTTTTTTAAATTTTCAGGCCCCAGACCGTTTGGTTCTTGTGGTCCAGGAGACTCTTCGTGAGTTCTATGATGCTATCAAGTTGGGAAAAGATGCCGAGCCATCATGGAAGAAAACTATCTATAAGGTAAGTGCGCTCTGTCGAACTGTAACTTAGCCAGTTTTGGTTCAAACTTGTTGAAAATTATATTTTTGAACTTGTCTTGATTAGAGCTTCGAAATGAGTATAAACAAGACCATATTCTAAATTTTTGGAAATTTTGGGTCTCATCACGAATCCTACTGTATCTCATCTCGTTCTGGTGCAAATATAATGAAAATTATATTTTTTGAAATTGGCTTGTTTTAAGCTTTAAAATGAGTATAAACATGACTATATTCTGAATTGTTTCAAATATGAAAATTTAGAAATTTTGGGTCTCCCTACGAATCCTACTGTATCTCGGCTCATTCTGGTCCAAATATAACGAAAACTACTTTTTTGGTAGTTTCTTGTTTCAAGTTTCAAAATGAGTATAATCATGACCATATTCTGAGTTTTTTCAAATCTGAAAAATTTCGAGATTCCCCATCATGAATACTACTGTATCTCGACTCGTTTTGATCAGAATCTTATGAAAATTAAATTTTTAGATTTCTCTTGTTTCAAGCTTCAAAATAAGTATAATCATGCCCATATTCCAAAAATTTTGAAACTTCGGTTCCCACAATGAATCCTACTGTATCTCGACGCATTTAATTCCAAATTTTATGAAATTTTAATTTTTGGGTTTCTTTTGTTTTAAGCTTTAAAATGAGTATAAACATGACCATAGGGTCCCACCACGAAATCCACAGTAACCCATTCAAAATTCCAGAAATTTCAGATCATCAATCGATTGGACGATCAAATCCCCGACTTTTTCAAGGAGCCAAATTTCCTCGAGCGTCTGGAATCGTAGATTTTTTAACATTAAAAAAAACGACTTTATTTCTTGTTTTATCTCAATAGTCTTTTTTCCCAGCTTTATCTTTACTCTCAATTCCATTGACACCATTCTTTTTCTTTGGTTTTCTCTAAGTCTCTTCTCTCTTTAAATCTGTGCAATTCTTCAATTTTTTGGTCCCAAAATTCTCTAATGCTACCCTCCTTTCCCCAAGAATATCGGTTTCTATGTTCCAAATTTTCGTATTCTTCCCTGGCATAATTTTTTTGTCTCATTCTTTTTTTTTGAAAATTCAAATTACTCCCAAAAATCTGTGCCTCCTTTTCTGTTGTATAATTCGTTTTCGGAAAAAAAAATATTGCTGTAAAAAATGAAGAAAATGGTTTTTACAGGTCTGAAGTATGGACCAGAACTCTAAAATGGAACTTTAGGCATTTTGGAGCAACAAGGGAAACTAAACGCAGTTACCGACATACTTATGCTCATGGTCTCTAGCAGTGTTGAGCGGAATTCCGTCTTCCGTTTTCCGTCCGGGAAAATTTTTTCCGTCTTCCGTCTTCAGTGAAGTCCGGAAAAATCGCAATAAACGGAAGACAAGAATTTTTCAGGATTTTTTGAATTTTTACCTGAAACAAAAATTCTGAGAACATTTTTGTTAATTTAAAAATTCAAAATTTTTTTCCAAAATTTCAGACATTTTCCGATGTAGTCTTTGTGTATGTAGTCTTTGTGTTTTTTGTAACCTTTTTTGCGTAATTTCTTCGAAAAAATCGACAAAAACCGTAAAAAACCGTAAAAAACGGCGAAAATGAGCAAAAATTCGCTGAAAATCAAGCAGCATTTCTCTGCGTCTCTTCACTCCGGTTGTCTCTCGCCTGGCGCCTTGCCGGATCTTTGGCGCGAAACCGGATACTACAGTAAGAAATGGAGGGAAAACTAAATTTTCGAAAAAAAAACAAACAATAGATCTATTCCAAGAATTGGCGTAAGAAAGAAAAAAATTTTCCGAATAAGAAATCCTGAAAATCTGAAATTTTCAGATCATAACTTGAAGAGAAACCGTCGTTAGAAGAGTGTCAATTAATTAAAATTTTAAAAAATCCCAAAAAATCAGAAATTTCCAGTCCGACGACGATTTTCCATCTCCGACGCCACTCGTCGATTTGCCAATGGATTCAGGCGACGAGAAGATTTAAATTCCAGGCAGTTTGCCTGAAAATGAAGTCAGAGAAGAGATTCCATAGAGAATTCTGTAAGTTTCAGGCTGAAAATTCGACATTTTTCAGGGTTTTTTGTTGTTTGAAAATCACTTAAAATTGCTGATCGACCTAAAATTCATCAAAATCGGTCAAAAATGAGCGAAATTTCTGAAAATTCGATTTTGAAAAAAAAATTTCGAAAAATCGATTTTTTGAATTTTTCCTTGATCAGAGTGTTTCAAATCACTATAAAATAAATTTTTTCAAAGCATTTTTTCTGAAATTTTGAAAAAAAAAACATTCTGAAAATTCGATTGTTGAAAAAAAATTACAAAAAATTCAAAAACTTTCAGAATTTTGGCCTTGAAAATGACTAAAAATCACTAAAAATCGATCTTTTTCCGCCTGGAAATCGTTAAAATCGGTCAAAAAATGAGCGAAATTTCTGAGAATTCGATTTTGGAAAAAAATATGTTTTTCGAAAATTCAAATTTTCCGAATTTTTCCCTGATCGGAATGTTTCATATCATAGATTTTTTCAAGCATTTTTGTCTGGAAATCACTTTTTTTTCCGAAAATCAATTTTTTCAAAAAAATTTTTTCCAAAAATCAAATTTTTCAAATTTTTGCCCCGATGAGAATTTTTCAAATCACCGAAATATCTATTTTTCAATTTATTTTAGTCTGAAAATTCGATCAAAAAAATCTGAAAAATCGATTTTGAAAAAATTTTTTTTTCGAAAATTTCAAATTTTTCCATTAGCAGAATGTTCAAAATCATTCAAAAAGTTGGTTTTTTAAAGCATTTTTGTCTGAAAATTCCAAATTACCGAAATTTTGAAGAAAATTTGCTGAAATCTGAAAAATCGATTTAAAAAAACAATTTTTCAAAAAATCCAAAATTTTCCCTTATCAGAATGTCTCAAATCACTCAAAATGGACTTTTTTGAAACAGTTTTTGTGTAAAATTCACAATTTTGTCTGAAATTTCGAAAAAAAAATCTGAAAAATTTTTAAAGAGAACAGAGAGAAGGAGAAGAAAACTAATACCTATACTGACTGGTAAGAGTCTTAAAATTGGAGGGAAATTAGAAAATTTTTGAAAAAAAACTTTCGAAAAATTTTTTTAAAAATATTTTTCAATAATTTTTTAAATCTGGCCAAATTTATACTCATTTTGAAGCCCTTCAAATGTGACATTGAATGTTGTCAATTTGAAAAAGTTTGGCTTAAAATAGGCGAGTTATAGTTGGAAATCTGAAATTCCACATTTTTTTTTGAAAATTCGAAATTTCAATTTTCCGCAAATATGGTCCATGTGTATAGTCATTCTGAAGTTGAAAATAAGAGAAATCGATTGATCTAACTTTTAAAAACTTTGGCTGAAAATGGGCGGAGTTATGGCTGTAAATCTGATTTTTTTTGTTTTTTCGAGATCCATCTGTAAATCCATCGACAATTTCGCTCGAGAAAGTGGTCAAGCAGAATCTATTGCCACGTCATCTGCACAGAATCTTCTAGAAGCCGTTCTGAATACACCGACGTCTTCCGAGGAAACCAAGAGGTGGAAATCGAACTTTTAGATGATGTGGAGGTTATGGAAGATGTTCAGATTCTGGAGGAAAATGTGGAAGAGGTAAGAATTTTGAAATTTTGGCTGAAAATCTGAAAAATCTGAAAAAAATTTTCTTTTGGAATATAGCCATGATTATACTCATTTTGAAGCTGAAAATGCGAAAAATCGATTGATCCAATTTTCAGAAAATGTGGTTAAAAATGGGACGAGTTATGGCTGAAAATCTGAAATTTCAGATTTAAAAAAAGTTTTTTTCTGGAATATGGTCATGATTAGACTCATTTTTAAGCTGAAAATAAGATGAATCGATTAATCTTGGTTTCAAAACATTGGCTGAAAATGAGAGGAGTTATGGCTGAAAATCTAAAAGTCCAGAAAAAAAACTTTATTTGGAACTTTTTTCTCGAAAATTCGATATTTACAATTTTTCCGAAAAAACTGAAAAATCTCTATTTTTCAGACGCAATTCCCGGATGACCTTCAGTTCGAAGAGCCGCTCTTCTTCGAGGAAATCGAGGAACCGCTGCAAATTCCAGATTCCGAAATTCAGCGAATCGATGCCAATGACATCATCGAAGATAGTTTCCTATCGATCATCAATGACGATAAATTTTCAATAAACGAATTCGATCAATATTTGAATGTGTAGAAGGAAATTTGAATTTTTGAAAAGTTTTTTAATTTTGTTCTACTTGAAAATACAAATTTTCACACTCGAAAATTGCTTTTTTTTTGTTGTTTTTCCATGCCTTCTCTGAAATTTTGAAAAAAAAAATTACTCAAAAAAAAATTTTTTCAAAATTTTTGTCTGAAAATCGCCGATTTTCAGCTCTCCACATCTCCTACGAGGCCGTCTCCCAACATGGTACTACTCGAGAAAGTTTACAATTAAAGTGAGTTTCTATTAAGTTTTTAAAAAGTGACATTTCAGAACTGACCAATTTGCAACTGACTCGAAATCCGTTTTTTTATAATTTCCAAGGATTTTGGTCTGAATTTTTTAAACTTAGATAATCTGAAAAATTCTTAAGCCCTAGAAATAGCTGAAAGTTTAAGAAATTCCACTTTTAATAAATTTTCAGATCCCCCCCCCCCTTTGGTGCCGTCAAACGAAGCTATTAGAACGCTACGGATTCGGTTCTTTTAACATTTTAAAAGTCAGTTTTCAATAAATTTTTCAGAAGTGACGTTTCAGGACTGGTCGTTTTGTTGCCGTTCTGAAACGAGCAGTTCCAAACCTTCCGGTTACAAAATTCTCTTATTTTTCAGGTACACTTACGCCTTGTTAAAAATATCTCAAAATTATGCCATAATGTCAAAAACTATAAAAAACTGTAAGATTTTGATTTTTATTTTTCAATTTCAATGTTCCCATAACCGAGTTATTGGGTTTTCTTGACTATGTCTTATATATGTTTCCCCATAGGGTGGACCATCTGTCATTCTAATCTCACCTATCTATCTATCCTTCTTTCCCAAAGGTCCAGAGGTCAGAAAAATCAATAAGACTCATTCTTTGTCTATCCCCTCTATATATGGTCCCTTCATTTTTTTTTTCAGTATATACAATCCCCCACCGTCATGCCAATCAATCTACACCAATTTCCAAAGGAATTGATTCTGGAAGTTCTGAGAAACGTCGATCTTCGAGGATTGTGAGTTTTTTTCTCATTTTTCGTTGATTTTTAGTTAGAAATGATCAGATTTAGGTGTCTGTAAAATCACTGTATTCTTTTCCGTTTGGTTTGAAAATGTTGGGAACCAGTCGGTTTACGCCCTTCGTGGCTTAACCTCCTGGCCTCCGGTCGCCCTCCACCATCGCCATTTATGCACAACACCCTTTAGTGTGGTAAAACCAAGGAACGTCTCCAGAAGACTTCAAAATCAAAATTTCGAAAAACCAAAAATTTGGGCATCAACTAAGACACACTTCTGACCCATCTGTCAGGTTTCAGCTCAATCGGTTAACTTTGAATGGGGGAAAAGGCGCGCAACATACATACGCACATACAGAATTTGGTGCTGTTCCTATAAATATATAGGTTCCTATAACAGATATAAAAAATCTGTCAGCTGATAAAATGTTGATAATAACATGATAAAGAATTTATCAGTTGAAAAATGTTCAATATCTCTCATGAGAACTGAAATAAATTGGTTCAAAGTGCACTTATTGTGTGGTCTGTTACATATTAGGGAAAATATGGTGTTGAGAGCTTGACATGATGTATCTCCTCAGCGAGCGATTGTACAAAAAAGTAATCAATTACAAAAATAAAGATCTAAATTTGTTTTATAGTCTTTGAAGTTTTCAGACCAAACGGAACTTTATAAAACCCTTTTTCAGATGCTTAAAGTTAGCACCTACCGTATTAACTCTAATAGACGCTCACTCTCTATGTCCACTTTAAGCTCAATTTTCTCGGTTCTTATAAAAGGTATCAAAAATTAGTCAACTGATAAAATGTTCATCTCAACTATCTCGGTTCCCATAAGAGATATCAAAAATAGTTTAACTGATAAAATGTTTATCATAATATCACCAATATTTTATTAATTGACAAATGTTTTCTAGCTAGTATAGGAACCGAGATAATTGAGCTCAAAGTATAGCTTGCCGCGCCACTGCGCCGCTTGCGCCTCCGCTTCCGACCCATATGCTTGTAGCTCATTTATTTTAGTTACTGTAAGAGATACCAAAAATTTGTTAACTAATAAAATGTTTATCATATTATCAGCAATATTTCGTTAGTTGACAAATTTTGGATAACTAGTATAGGAGCCGAGATAACTGAGCTCAACGTGCACATATAGGTAGCTTCTTCTAGAATTGTTTAGCTCTGAATTTTTTAATTGTTTTTGAGACACATTAAGACGAAATTTTGGAAAAATGAATTTTTCAGAATCCTCTACTCGTTGCTCTCCATAAACTCCAAAAAGTACGCCACCTCGCTCAACTACAAAGCATCTACAATGGAAATCTCTTTTGGACGATCTCTAACCATCCAGTTCATATTCTTAAATTCAATTTCAAATAGCTATTTGAAACTCGAAGTTCCAAATGATGGCTTATTTATCGACAAAAAGCTGCCAAGAGGTGCTGAAATGTCTGAAACTCGACTTGATGGTCTTGAATTTTTCAACACTGGAGAGCGGAACATCGGAGAGGTCGTTGAGCATTTTTCTAGGACGTTTCATTGCTCCGAACAGAAAACAATGGAGTTTCACATGAAGCAGAAGCTATTCAAACCTGGTCAAATATTGCAACGTTTTGGAAATCCATCGACTCTAACGATTCTCGGAGATGATGAAGTGGAGAACAGCGAGATCCTGGAGACGTTCAGAAGAGTGGACACTCTGTATCTTCAGAGGAAAGATCAAGATTTGCAAAGTGTACTGATTCGAAATTTCAATTGCCTTGTCTATGGTCTTCTGGGATCTGTACCCCTAAGTCTCGACGATTTGCTATGTCTTAATTCTACAAGCTTCACAGCAACCGGAGCTCAAATATCTCAAAGAGAGATAAATCTATTTTTCAAGTTATGGATCGCCGGATCGAATCCTAGATTGGCCCACTTGGAAATTCAAATTTGGAATCAAATCCTGAATCGGGAAGTTATACTAAAAGGGATTCCATATGTCGCTATACCAGATGACGTGGAGAGAATCGTGGAATCTTCTGGAGAATTTTTGATGGGTCATCGGATTCAAGGAGGATTTGATGTTTGGAGAAGAGATGGAACAAAGGGAACTATTCTGATTGATTTGTGGAGTGGAGATGAAGGAGTTGAGTTAATTGTGTGGAAATAATTGTTTTCTGTGTTTTGATGGAATTTGAATAAAATTTTGAAAATTTTGAAATTATTAGATATTTTCAGCATCATAATTTTTGGTATCCTAAAGTTTGAGGGACCTGAACACTCTAATAGAATGCCACCCGGACCGCCCACTTTGAGCCTTTGAGCCTCACTTCTTTTGAAAGATATCAAACAATTGTCAACTGATAAAATGTTTATCATGATATCAGCAACATTTTATTAGTTGACCACTTTTTGATATCTCTCACAGAAAATGAGATATATGGGCTCAAATTTGACGATTCTGGTGCCGTTCTATTAGAGGGTTTACGGTAATTTTTGGTAATCAGATCCTGAAGTTCGAGGGATCTGAGATTACGGTTTTTGGACTTTACTAAGTTTTTTTTGGCTAATATTGATGAACAGATATTTTTGATCCAGAAAAGTCTAATTCCGAACATCCAGGAGCACCTAATGTTATTGCTACTGGACAAAATTACATTTCATATTTCCTAATTTCAGACCTGGATCTCTTGTTTTTATAGTTATGGGAGAATATCTGAAACCGAAAAACTCCAGAAGGAGGAACTCCAGAAAGAGCGATTATTCCAGATTTCTGGCCATAACTTCTGACAGTGAAAAGAGTTAGTCGGGATTCAAATGGGGTTCCAGCTATTCAGTTTTAATGTTTGAGCTTTTCAGAATCCGCAGAAAACGAGCTGTAGAATTATCATTCGAGAATCTAAATTACAATTTCTGAAAAATGTTTACATGCTGGTTGGTATCTAAAATGCCACCAAATTGAAGATAGACCATTACCGGTGGATTAGTCCTCGACGCATCGTGAAGAAGAAATAATGTAGGATATGTGGAGACGGCGAGGACCAAGACAAGAAGAGCAGGTGAGTGCGTAGCTCGGATTATTTAACGTGCTCATCTGGCATGGCCTAGGAAACCACCACATTCGGGATTATATCTCAGAGGCATCATAATTAAAATCTAGTCGGACTATTCAGAAATTGGCAAATATCTGAACAACCAGGAATTAAAAAAAAAATCTGTAAATGCAAAGTGTTCAAGCTAGGTCTGTTTCAGACCCTCCTAAATTTTCAAAGTTATCAAAAACTTGACATCGGAGCTCTAGACTCAGAAAAATGGTCAAAATGGCCAAAAATCAACTGGAAAATGCGTTTTTGTATTAGGTTGGCGGGAAAGTCTTTGTCACTCTGTTTGTTTAATCACTGTTCTCGTATATGGAGGCTGTGTATGATATCGACTCTAGTGAATAACAAGGTGATAAGAACCTTCCATATAAACAGGTCCCCATCTCCTTCCCTGCTCCTCATCTGTAATTGAAACGATATGTTTGTTCCCACTGCTATTCACATCAGACATGTTTTGATTTACCTCTTCCTATCTCACACCACGATGAAGGATTCGGAAACTTTCTTGAAGAATGTGTACAACACACATGCCCCTCACTACAATACTATTCGCAATTGGTTCCATCGTTTCGAAAAAGATGACTTCTCGCTCGATGAAAAGGATCGCTCTGGGAGACCCCGTGAGTTGGATTTGGACAAGCTGAAGCACGCATTGCAATCGGATCCATTTCAATCTAGCCGTGAACTAGCTGTCACATTCGGAGTTCACCATAGCACAGTCCTTGAAGGTTTGAAGTCTCTTGGAATGAGAAAACTTTTTGGTCGATTCATACCTCATCACCTGACTCAAGCCAACCTTGACCGCCGAGTCGACGATTCGATTACTCTTCTCACTCTCCACGCGGGCGATCGATGGCTGGACCGGCTAATAACCGGAGATGAGAAGTGGGTCTTCTACGATAATCACCACAGGAAATCCCAGCGGGTTGGAGAAGGAGAGAGCCCACAGGATGTCCCAAAACCCGACCTTCATCCGAAAAAAGTTATGCTCTCTGTGTGGTGGGGAGTGGACGGCCCCATCTACTGGGAACTTCTGCCCGAGGGCAAAACAATAACTGGAGACCTCTACACTACTCAACTACGAAACCTCAAGAAAGCAGTCGACCGTTCGGCCCTGAAAGACAAGAAAGTGTACTATCAACATGATAACGCTCGCCCACATGTTTCGAAACAAGTGAAGCAGGAGCTGATGGGATATGGATGGAATGTTCTCCCTCACCCCCCGTATTCTCCTGATCTTGCTCCTTCCGACTATTGGTTATTTGGCGATATGACACGTGCCTTCGAAGGAAGAAGCTTCAATTCCCGTGGAGCGGTCGAAGCGGCACTCAAACAATACTTTGCCTCACGCCCGGCTGGATTCTACCGCAATGGAATCCATAAATTGAGGGAACGTTGGAGACATGTTGTTGATAATGATGGACAATATAATTAATTATTCGGTTATTTTTTCTTTGAGAAATAAACTATTGAAAAAGTGACAAAGACTTTCCCGCCAACCTAATAATTGTATTGACCGGTACTGTATTTGAGCATAATTGCCTGAATTGTTAATAAGCTACATAAATGTATTATCACAAAGTTCGAAATCGAAATATTTAACTATCTCATCCATACAAAAAGTCGAATCGCCGTACTCGTAATCCGAAACGTTGCCTTCCTTCCATCCCTTCTCCGAACATCAAACCCTCCATGAATCCGATTCTGCCATAAAACCTCTCCAACTGTATCCACGACCCTCTCCTGATCCTCAGGTATTCTCTGATACCATATCCCGCAAATACTCATCCATGGATTTGGAATAGGTTCAGGAAATTCAATTTTCAAATGAGCCAATCGTGGATTCGAACCGGCTAGCCATAATTTAAAGAATCGATTGATAGTCCGTAGTTCTATTCGGCATCCGATGAGACTGCAGTGAACGGCGTTGATCATCAGCAGGTCTTCTAATCTTAGAATTATCATTGAATTTGATAAAGTTAGACTGTAGAAATTTCGAGTTAACAGCGTTTGCAAGTCATTTGGATCTTCAAATGGATTGATTTCCAAACATAGCTTATTAATCCTTTTGAAAGTTTTGAGCACTCGTCTGGCGTTGTCATTCTGACTACCAGCAGTGATAATGATTGATGGAACGTCTCCAATATCCTTGAAGATCAGATCCGGATTCACCTTCTGGCATCCTGGATAGAAAACCACGTGTTTCTCTCTCCGATAGTTAAAAATCCGGTATAAATGCTCGAAAAGGTCTCCGCTCTTTAAGCATCCCGTAAAGATCCTTTCACATTTGCCACGTTGAATACCGGATAGTTTGAATGATGCAGGATAGTTTTTAAAGGAGACTTTCCATAGAGCGGCGGGAAGTTCAAATGTTATCCGAGGAAGAGAAGGGTTGGGAAATGAGCAGCGGATTTTTGGGGTTGCATGGAAGAACATGTTGATGTGACTTGCTTTGATTTGAAGAGAGGAAACACGTTTTCTGGAGTTGGTGGAGAGTAGAGAGAAGAGGATTCTGGAAAAAAAGATTCTTAAATTACAATTTTTACTTTTACTTCAAGAATTCCAATTAGGGGTCTCCGACAATGTTGGAAAATGAACGCCCAGATGAAAACGGGATTTTCAAAAACTCATATTTCTCAAGACTCGAGATTCTCTAATAGTTTCAGGATCACATTTTCTGGATTAAGTTTTTTAATTGTTTTGGAATTTTTGGATTATCCGAATTCAACTATTTCAATACATTTTTTAAAACTTTTCTTTTTGGATTATTTCAGGATTTTCGAGAAACCTGAATTTCTGAATTTTTGGAACTTTTCGAGATTTCCTAATTTTACGATTTTCGAAATTTTTGTAAAATTCTCTGAATTTCCTAGTCTCCCAAATTTTGATTTTTCAAAAATTTCCGTTTTCCGATTTTTCTGAAGTTCCAAAATTCAGACTTTGATTTAAATTTTTTTCTAAAAGTTCAGAGTCACAGAACATTTATTTTCGAAAAATGAGATGTTTCATTTGTTCAATATTTAAAAATCACATAAAAACGAAGATGGGCTGAAATTTCTGAATTGCTGAAAGCTCTACAATTAGAGGTCCCTAACAGAATTTTCAAAAAACTCACATTTCTCGAAACTCTAGATTCCGCAAAACTTCAAGAATCACATTTTCTGGTAGTTGTGGTAGATCAAACGGCATGGAAATAGGAATAGTGCGAATAGAAGGACCGTAGGTGGTGTATAAAAAGGGACCTTTGATCGAACACAACCTATAAGGGGTGAAGAAATAGTATGGGATTAAAGGAGACGGTTGACCTGGGACTCAAGAGATTAAGAGAGCACCTCTCCAAGGAATGGACGGTGGTGCACGCTTATCCCCACGACACCAACAGATTAGGATTAATTGAGTCAGAGAAGAAGAGGAACGCAGAGAAGACCCTCCGACTCTGGGATAGGAAAGGAGTGCGGGGAAATTTGATGAGCTTTCTTTGCTAATATTTATAATCAAGTCAATTTAATTTAGAAAAAAAAATTAATCCCAATTTTCCAAGACCATTTCATCCAGAAGTACCTAGCCACTGACACCACATTGTCCACATTTGAAACCAGTCGGTTTACGCCCCTTGGGAGCTTAACCTCCTGGCCTCCGGTCGCCCTCCGTCATCGCCCACCACCCTTTAGTGTGGTGAAACCGAGGAACGTCTCCAGAAGACTTCAAAGTCGAATTTTTTTCAAAATCGAAAAATCCAAAAATTCAGACATTAACTAAGACACAATTCTGATCTATCTGTTCAGGTTTCAGCTTGATCGGTTAACTTTGAATGGGTGATAATGTGCGCTACATACATACGCACATACAGAATCTGGTTAATGTCATTAGTAATGATAATGATAATCGATTTTATTTACAGATATTAACATGGTCCAATTATTGTCCTCCTTGTTTGCGTGCCGTGGACTCCCGGATCATCTCCAGCTCCTGACGTGCCCATTCCAATGCTCGGTACCAAATATCCCTTACGATCCTCGTCCGCTCTGACTCCGACTCGGCGCCATGTAGGCGTCGTTCTCCATTCCTTCCGAGTCGATCACCGAGCCATCGAACGTACTCCCCCCGGCCTTTGTGCACGGGCATCGCCTCAGCCATCGCGAGCTCCAACTGATTTCCGGTGAGTATTTCTGTACGGGAAACGAGTGATCTTCACCTCCTTTCCATTGTCACTTTTGAATTTAAATAAAATATGTTTTAAGGCACTCAAGGCGACAAGCTAACCTCCGGACACTGAGGTAGTTTTGGCCGACCGCCAACACAACACCCGAAACACCATTCGCCAGTGTTGAGTCTTCGAGTCCGTGGTTGTCGGTGATGACCACTCGACCACCAATCACCAGCGTCAACGACTTCTTCTTCAGACCATTCCGGGCATACCTTGCGCAGGATGGGCACTCGGTAAGCGACTCGATCTCGACACGTCTCGTCGAGTTGTTAGCGATCTGGAACCACAGCCATGAAAAGAGTAAGTATTTTTTCAAAAAACCAACCCAGCTGTTGATTTCATCAACCCGACTGTTTTTGAAGGTTTGGATGACGTACTCGCCCTCTGGATCTCCGTTTCGGAGACTGGTCAACTCCCGATGAAGGTCTTCGGCTCGCTTTCCTACCATCGCATACCTGCTGACGAGAAAATCTTTTGTCCTCTCGGATTGCTTTCCCATCCGCACCTCCTCCAACACACGTTGCTCCAATGGGCATGAAATTCTGACGTTCTCCGTCAATTCATCCATCTCTAAACGTCTCCAAAGATTTTTGAAGTCCGGTCTTCTTGAAGTTATCGAGGCGTAGAGAGCCTTATACATCTGCGGGGCGGCTGGAAAATATCATTCCTGAGTTTATGTTTTCTTATAGACCGCAACTTACAAGCTCTGCGACCTTTCTACATCTCCAACCGTCACGACTTCCTTCAACGTTGACACAGCCGGCAGCTGAAGCAAGTCCCCAAACGCCACGACGGACATTCCGCCGAAGGGCTGCTCTCTCCCGAAGATCTCCCTCAGCCGGTGGTCGATCTGGGCCAGAAGAAGCCCCGTGACAAGACTGATCTCGTCAATTATCAGTTCTTTCAGACTCCTCAGTTTGTTGGCCAGAGCAAACATCTGGTACTCAGATAGGGCATGGAAGGCTTTCTGACCCAGATGAAATGGTAAGATGAATTGGTTTCAGACCACCCGCCAACTCACGAAGAACTTCAGGAGAGAATGGTTTCCATACCAACGAGCTGCGCAGCTTTACCGACTGGTGCCGACACGACGCATGCAGCCTTCATCCGGTAAAACTGCCGGACGAACTCCGCAAACGGACGAAGGACGGCCGACTTTCCGGTCCGGATCCACGATGTGCTCGAAGAATTGCTTGTTCTGGAAGACAGTAAGTATTTATCCAAAAAATTCCAACTTTAATATCCAATTTTCGAGATCCAAAATGCCTAGATCCAAAACTTCCAATTCCTTATTACTAAAATTGCAAGTCTCGAAACCCCTAATCAATAAATTTCAAAAGATTCTATAAACCCAATTACCAAATCAAAAAGTTATAATTTAGTGACATAGTACGTGCACTACAAACTACAAAATTATGGTCTCTATGGTCCTTTAGTCAAAATATCGAAAAGTTGAACTAGATTTTCAGATCCTAGAGGTTCAGAGCTTCAAAATGAGTATAAACATGACTAGGATAATAACTACCGTATTTCGGCTAATAGAAGCCCACTCAAACTGTCTATTTTGAGCTCAATTATCTCGATTCCTATTGAAGATATCAAAAATTAGTCAATTGATAAAATGTTTATCTTTTTATCACCAACATTTTATCAGTTGACAAATTTTTGATATCTTTCACTGGAATCGAGATAAATGAGCTCAAAGTTGAAGAAATACGGTATGAATTTTTCGATGTTTTCAAAAATTTTTAAATTGAAAAGTCTCTAAAAAACCGTGTAGATATCATTTGATGGATTTGAAAATTTCATAATATAGAAATTAAAACTAGAGCTTGATTTTTGAAATTGATAGAGTTTTAGAAAAACCATTTTTAAGAAAATTTTCCCAAAAATTACCAAATATAGCTACTACTCTTTAAATTGACCTATATCTTCAGAAATTGATTTTTCAAAAAAGTTGTCAACCACCTACTTTAAAGGCGCGCAACTCGGAAATTACGGTTTATAGAAAAAAGTTGTCAACTAATAAAATGAAGCTCTATTTTTGTTTTATTAACCCTGAAGTTATCAAAAAAATCTGAAAATTTTGGCCTACTTTTTTGAGCACTTTTTTCCAGTCCCTAGTTTTCGAGTTTAAGGATTTCACAAAAATTTATTTCAGCTTACCTCAAGAACATCCAGATTCATCAAAATAAATAATCAGCAATTTCAAAAAAAAACAAATTTAAAAAGAGACCACCAGAAAATCAGAAGCTGATCAGAAGAGACAAAAATGAGTAATTCCAAAATAGAATTCAAAAAAGAGGAGAGATAGAGAGACGCAGAGAAAAAAGAGGGGAGAAATGTGAGTCAATTTTTCGGGGAATCGAATGGAACAAAGAGAAAATTTGAAACAAAGAAAAATTGATTCGAATTTGAATCTCAAAAAAATTGAATCTGAAAATTCTAAAAGTTCTGAAAATCAAACTTTGAGCTCAATTATCTCGGTTCGTATCAGAGGTATCAAAAATTAGTAAACTAATAATTTGTTTATCATTATATCACCAATATTTTATCAGTTTACTAATTTTTGATATCTTTCATAGGAACCGAGGTAGGACAATTTTACTAAACATAGCGTAGCTGCACCCCCCCCCCCCCCCCCACTCTCCCAAACTTGTTAACTTTAAGCTCAATTACCTCGGTTCCGGTAAGAGATATCAAAAAAATGTCAACTGATAAAATATTTATCATAATATCATCAATATTTTACCAGTTGACAACTTTTTGATATCTCTTACAGTAACCCAGATAATCAAGTTCAAAGAGCCCGTATAGCGTGAGCTTCTTTTACAGCGAATACGGTAATTTCATTTTCACGTTTTATTTTCCACGTAAAAATTGATGACGTCTTCTAAAATTCACACTGAAAATCGTGGAAATAAAAAAAATCTGAAAATGTTCAAAATCCAGATTCTGATCTATTTCTCAAGCAAATTGAAAAAAATCGATTTTCGTATTAATCGGAGATGAATCAAAAAGCAACAATGACACAAATACCGCCCCCAGGGGGACATCATCAAGCGGATCCGAATAAGTAGGAGGAAAGTTGGATTATCGATTTTTTATTTAAAAAATTGTTCCAGAAAAGTTCTCCACCGCATCGAAGACATCGTTCACTCGGACCCCGACACCTTCCCAGAATTCTCGAATCGCGATGGGTCCAAAGAATCCCTGGACTCAAAACACTGGCAATTGATAATGGTCCGAGTACCAGATAATCCAAACAAGACTCATATTAAGACGATAAACGAGGCGATAAGCAACGAGATGCGTGCCACGTGGAAGACTCCGCCCACTTCTTTCGCCTACGTCTCCGCGCCGCACATTCCAATTCTTCAGTTGGCTCATGGAGTGGCAAAGAAGCATTTCGGGGATAAGACGGCGTTGAGATCAAGCTTTTTCTTCGCGGAGCCCAAGAATGATAAGGTAGGTCAAAACAATTTTGAGTTCAAGGAAAAAGAGCTTCAAAACGAGTATGGTCATGACTAGGTCCTATAATATAAGGGCGCCCCTAACTTCAAACTTTGAGTCAATTTATCTAGATTCCTGTCAAAGTTAGGAAATAGTTGTCAACTGACGCAATGCTTATCATAATATCAGAAACATTTTATCAGTTGGCACATTTTTGATATCTCTGATAGGAACCTAGATAATTGAGCTCAAACTTGCCAGTGAGAGAGCCCTTCTATTACAGGTTTTACAGTAGCTGTGTTATATTCATGTTAAAGCTCTAAACCTCTAATATCCAAAAATAAAACTTACAATTTCAGTTCATAATTGCCAAAGACGCGGAGCTAAAAAATTTGAAATACGAGGTGATCCTAGGTGCAAGCCGATTCACCTGGGCCAAGCCGGAGACCCAAGCGGACATGGTGAAACGGGTCGAATCGACACTTATGGAGTGCGCTGGACACACAGATTTACAGACATACTTTTATTTTCAGATTGATGCGCGTGCTTCCGAATCTCGTCTTGTTTCTCGGTCCCATCGCGTTTGACGTTCTCTACGAGACGCTGGAAAAACAGAAGAGGAAATCGATAAACACGCAGAAGCCAGGAGTGATTGTGGAGAATTTCAAACGGGACAACAATCAGTGGAAACGTATTCAGAAGCATGGTGCGACGTCGATATCCGTTCCATTGTGCTAGAACTTGATTTAGAATTCGATAAATACAATTTTTAGTATTTTTTAAAAGTCGTTAATTTTGGGTCTTTTCACTTTTGGACGACCTACAGTACCGGAAAAGCAAAGTTTAGCCCTCTAAAAACATAGGTCAAAATTGCTAAATTACTTTGAAAATTTCAGACTATACAAAACAAAACTAGATCTTCACTTTTGTAGTTGACACCTCTTTTGAAAAATCACTCCCTAAAGAGATACAGTGCCGGTCCCCGAGCAATACAAAAAACGTATTTTTCAGTTGATTTTTGAATTTTGACAATTTTCACGAGGCTGAAGCTCAACTGCCAAGTTTCTGATCACTTTGAAAGTTTCAGATAATGTAAGACAGGCCGAGATTAAACAACTTGCATTTAGAGAGTTCTTTGAAAATCGTTAGTTTTTCAGATATTAGCCGATTTCAAAATAACACCCCTATTTTTGCCCGTTTTGTACCCCATTTTCTAGACCCTACGAAACAAGTCCATAGTTTTCAGATCAATCCAAAAATTTCAGAGGGTGGCGCCTAGAGGCATGAACCGGTTCCACGTGGCGTATCTCTTCAGGCTTCAGTTTTACAAAAAAGTTGTCAACTACAAAAATTAAGCTCTAGTTTTGTTTTGTATACTCTGATATTTTCAAAACAATTGAACATTTTTGGATTACACTTTCAGAGGGCTAAACTTTACTATTTTCTGAGTTCCACTTAAGTTTTGGGCAACTTTTAGTTTAGTCAGTTTTGCATCATTTTGAAGTCGCTTATCTTACTAGGTATTAGCTAAATAGGCTGGTGGCACTAAAGTACTAATTTTTAACATCAAAGTGCTGTAGATTCGTCATTTTCCCACCAGTGCAACCCAAAACGACGTCAGCAAGTCAGAAAATGATACTATAGAGACATTTTGATCATTTCCTCATTCTCTGAATTCGTTCAATGATTCCCTCCATTGTTTCACTAGACACTATACATCCTTCTGAAGATGTGTAAGTGTTCTGTGGTGTTGATGAGAAGAAGTGGTGGAAGAACATGTGAAGGGGAGATAGTGATAAATTGATAATGGGGGTGAGGATACTGTAATTGGACGGATGGCTTGCATCATGTTTTTTTTCTCTCATAATAATAGTGTCATTTGCATATTAGAAAAAACCGGAAACCATGAAAATTGATTAGAATTCAAGTATAATGTAATTTCTGACTGTTTCAGAACTTTCAAAAAAGTCATTTCAATTTTTCCAACTTTTCAAATGTTCACATCTCGAGTTTTACAATTGCTAGAAAAATGATTATTATACCAAAATGTTGGATATTTTGTGCTCTTCATTTTTGTAAATTGTAATATTTTGATAACTATCGTAGTTTCTGTGATGTGAGTCTTTAAAGTTGAGGCATGCTCAAAGAAAGGAACACGACCTCCCTTTCGGGTGCATTAACTTTGAAGGCGCGTACCTCAAAAGCTATGAAAGATGTAAAAATGCAGTTTATTAAAAATGTGTGAAATGTTATGATCTACATTTTTGTAATTAACACTTTTTTGATAACTACAGTACTTTTTGAGATATGCGCTTTATATGGAATACCCCAGTATCCATCTGTAACCCTGTGAATCCCGATGTCCAATTCTGCAGCATACTTGTAACGGGCCGGGCCGGGCTTTTTCCCGAATTTCGGAGGCCCGGCGGGCCTGTCATTCCACAATTTTTGAAAATTTCAAAAAACGAAAAAATCACATAAAGGGGGACCCTTATGTGATTTTTTTCTATCAAAAAATTTTTTTCGAGTTTTTAAAAATATTTTTTGATCAAACAGACAAACAATCCAAAAAGCACAAAAAATATAAAAAATTGTATTGAGAGCTCAAAATTCGGTTCAAAATGACAAAATTTTTGCTACCGGGCCGGGCCTTGAAATTTTCTCAGGCCCGGCCCGGAATTTTACAAGTATGTTCTGCAGTATTTCCCTTTTTGTCACGCCACCTTCTTGTCTAGATCAACATCATTTTATCAATATAGTGATGACAAACATCAGGCTCCGCCCCTTCTGATGTATAAAAGATGGCTTGGGAAATGAAGAAAAATCATCAGCGATCTAAATTCAACAAAATGAACTTCCTCCCTACTGTATTCTCAATTCTCTTGCTCATTTCCCTGACCAGTGCTCAATTCTTCTTCCCATTCGGAATGGGATCCAATAGCAATGGATACAACAATAATTATTATAATGGTGGTGGTCAAACTTATGGAAACGGATACGGTGTTAAAGATTCCGATGGATTCTTCGCCATGTGCAAAGGATGGACGTGTCAGAATTGAAGTGGACATCCGGATGTGCGGAAATCTTTCGGGTGTTAATTTTTTCTCTGTTTAATGTGATCTCTCAAAAATAAACTGATTTTTTAAATACGAATTCGAGAGTTCCACAGTACGACCTTCTTAACTTTCAACTTCGAGGACATATATTTCAATTCCTGTGACAGATATCAAAAAGTGGTTCACTAACAAAATGTGTAAAATGTAATGCTAAACGCGTAGCTCAAATTATTTGGCTTGTAACTTTCTTCATAGACAAGATACAGTTGATTGAATAACATCATCTTGTAGTGCTTGTCTAGTTCTATAATAGCCAATTTATTTGGTTTGAAATATCAAGTCTAAAAAAGTTATGGCCAGACCCGTTCGCAGCTATGATTTATAATAAAACCTGGGTCCCCGCGCTGTCAAGTTCAATTATATCAATTCTTATGCAAGCTATCAACAATTTGTCAACTAATAAAATATGTATGATATTGTGATAAACAATTTATCAGTTGAAAACTTTTTTATATCTTTGACAGGAACCGAGATAAATAGGCTCAAAGTAAAGAGGCTCTTCTATTATAGGTTTTATGGTATATGTAGACATTATCAAACTCCAACAAAACAACAGCAAAACGCTAAAAATTCTTTTAAAGATTTCTAGATTCCAGGATTCCAGGATTTTTTTAAATTTTTAAATTTTTAAACCCTAAACTTTTGTTTCGACGAATTCTCCGAATCAAATTTGATCTATTTGATTTCTAGGCAATTTTCAATGTTTCCCGTTTTTCGCTAATATGCAAATGACACTACCATCATATTATGAAATCAGGTTTTTTCTGACCACCCATATTTATTATTATTTTCTGATTTGACCGATAAAATGTGATCTACTATAATCTTATGACAACACTTTCTACACTTTCCGTTTCCTTTGTTTTCCCTTTCTGCATGTGTTGATCGTCTCAAGGTTTTGGAGTTTGGTCATGTCTACAATCCTACCTGAAAACAGACTGCCATAACTTTTATTCGGTAATAATATTTTCAGACCAAATCTCATGGATATTATAGAACTTGAAGAGTACTACAAGATGATGCTATTCAATAAACTGTATCCTGGCTATGAACAAAGTTACAAGCTAAATAGATTGAGCTACGCGGTCGCAAGCTTTGTATGTCTACTAGTTGTGTAGTTGAAAGGGCTACAAGTGTTTTGACACATTTTCAGCATGGTTTGGTTATTTCAAAGTATGTGTCTTTTCCAAACTTTGTAGTTCAAAACTACTTGGTTTTTTGAGTCACCTACGTGGTTGTAGTTTGCAGAATGAGGCACCGTAACCACTATTAAATCCGCCCGCCCCCAAAAGAAACCTGGCTGCAGCTTTTTCAATTTTAGTCCAATCTTAACCAAAGTCAGATTATTGAGTTTCTAACGTTTTAAGCTTTAAAATGAGTACAAACACGACCTAGTTTCCAGAACTTTGGAAATCGAGCTACGCGGTCGGTCGCAAGCTTCCCATCGAGCTAGGGCCCCACGTGTTAACCGCCCGTATCTCAAATACCAAGACAGCTAAACATTTTGTCAACTGCAAAAATGTTTAGCATGACATTTTTCAAATTTTGTTAGTTGACCACGTTTTGATATCTCTTACAGTAACCAAGATAAATTGGCCCCAAGTTGAAAGCTCGGGAGAGTCGTTCTATTAGAGTGTTTAGGTATGTGTAAACAAAAATAAGTTTATTATTGAGAGATCATATCAAGTCAAATAAGAAGTAAAATTATAAAACCCGAAAGAATTAAATTTCCGCACATCCGGATGTCCACTTCAATTCTGACACGTCCATCCTTTGCACATGGCGAAGAATCCCTCGGAATCCTTGACTCCATATCCGTTTCCATAAGTTTGACCACCACCATTATAATAATTGTTGTTGTATCCATTACTATTGGATCCCATTCCGAATGGGAAGAAGAATTGAGCACTGGTCAGGGAAATGAGCAAGAGAATTGAGAATACAGTAGGGAGGAAGTTCATTTTGTTGAATTTAGATCGCTGATGATTTTTCCTCAGTCTCCAAGGCATCTTTTATACGTCATCTTTGACGTTATTAAAGAGGCGGGGCTTGAGGGGCGGAGCCTGAAGTTTGTTATCGCTTTATTGATAAGATGGTGTTGATCTAGACAAGATGACGGCGAGAAGAAGAATTTGGAAGAAATATAGAAAATTTGGAAAAAGAAGAAGTGCAGAATCGGACATCGGGATTCACAGAGGTACAGAGAAGAAATGGATACTGTATTATTAGGAGGTTCCAGAATTTTCAGATTTTTAGACTCATAATTTTTTTCTGGATTTCCTAGATTTTTTCTAGATTTTCCAGCTAAACATTTTCGAAAAATCGGCTATCAACTCAGCTACACAGCTGTGATCAGTGATGTTAGAGGTACACAATGTCCCTCTATCAGAGTACAAATTTTTGTCAAAATGAGACAAAAAAGGGAAAGTTCTAGGAGAATCAGAGGCTCGTAGCGTTAAAAAACACTCCAAGTTTGCTGAATCAATGAACAAATTTTCTGAGAGGATTACTGTAAAAATCACCGCCCCTTTTCATGTAGACTAGAAGATTCGGATATAAAAATAAATATAACTTTTCGCAGAAAATTCAAAAATCATGCCCCTCAAATTTGTATTTCTAATATTCGCAATTTTCTGTACATTACTAACCTGTGCTCAATTCCTTTTTCCATTTTTCATGGGGTATCGAAGACCTGCGGCTACAGGATATCAATATTCAAATGGGTATGGATTCAAGGATTCTGAAGGGTTTTTCCCGATTTGTAGAGGATGGACATGTACTTCTAATACTTGAAATTTTAACTTATTTTGTTACTTCTGAATTTTTGTATTCGGAAATTTTATATTGAAATAATTGGTTTTCAATGTTGCAAACTTCGGAATGTCGGAATCTCAGAATGTTCTAATTTCGAAATTTCAGAATCTCGGAATTCTGGAATCCTGGAATCATGGAATCCTGGAATCCTGGAATCCTGAAATCTTGGAATCCTGGAATCCTGAATCCTGGAATCCTGGAATCCTGGAATCCTGGAATCCTGGAATCCTGAAATCCTGGAATCCTGGAATTCTGGAATCCTGGAATCCTGAAATCCTGGAATCCTGGAATCCTGGAATCCTTGAATCCTGGAATCCTGAAATCCTGAAATCCTGGAATCCTGAAATCCTGGAATCCTGGAATCCTGGAATCCTGGAATCCTGGAATCCTGGAATCCTGGAATACTGGAATCCTGGAATCCTTGAATCCGGGAATCCTGGAACCCTGAAATCCTGGAATCCTGAAATCCTGGAATCCTGGAATCCTGAAATCCTGAAATCCTGGAATCCTGAAATCCTGGAATCCTGGAATCCTGGAATCCTGGAATCCTGGAATCCTGGAATCCTGAAATCCTGGAATCCTGGAATTCTGGAATCCTGGAATCCTGAAATCCTGGAATCCTGGAATCCTGAAATCCTGGAATCCTGGAATCCTGAAATCCTGGAATCCTGGAATCCTGGAATCCTGGAATCCTGGAATCCTGGAATCCTGAAATCCTGGAATCCTGGAATCCTGGAATCCTGGAATCCTGGAATCCTGGAATACTGGAATCCTGGAATCCTTGAATCCTGGAATCCTGAAATCCTGAAATCCTGGAATCCTGAAATCCTGGAATCCTGGAATCCTGGAATCCTGGAATCCTGGAATCCTGGAATACTGGAATCCTGGAATCCTTGAATCCGGGAATCCTGGAACCCTGAAATCCTGGAATCCTGAAATCCTGGAATCCTGGAATCCTGAAATCCTGGAATCCTGGAATCCTGGAATCCTGGAATCCTGGAATCCTGAAATCCTGGAATCCTGGAATCCTGGAATCCTGGAATCCTGGAATCCTGGAATACTGGAATCCTGGAATCCTTGAATCCTGGAATCCTGAAATCCTGAAATCCTGGAATCCTGAAATCCTGGAATCCTGGAATCCTGGAATCCTGGAATCCTGGAATCCTGGAATCCTGAAATCCTGGAATCCTGGAATTCTGGAATCTTGGAATCCTGAAATCCTGGAATCCTGGAATCCTGAAATCCTGGAATCCTGGAATCCTGAAATCCTGGAATCCTGGAATCCTGGAATCCTGGAATCCTGGAATCCTGGAATCCTGAAATCCTGGAATCCTGGAATCCTGGAATCCTGGAATCCTGGAATCCTGGAATACTGGAATCCTGGAATCCTTGAATCCTGGAATCCTGAAATCCTGAAATCCTGGAATCCTGAAATCCTGGAATCCTGGAATCCTGGAATCCTGGAATCCTGGAATCCTGGAATACTGGAATCCTGGAATCCTTGAATCCGGGAATCCTGGAACCCTGTATTTTGTTTTCTAGTCGATTTTACACTTCTACGAAAGAATAAGATTTGGTAATAAACATTTCACTGCTAAATGTATCTTGTCTCACTACAAGATACGCCTGGGGTCTAAACAAAAGTGCCGAATTTTTTATATTTTCACGTTTCCTACTGAAAATGTAGCTGAAAAAAGACATGAGACAAGTCCAAAAATACAAAATATAGTGCTTGGCACTGTTCCAAAAAATAGACATTGTTATGGATAGCAAAGTTTGAGCCAAGTTATCTCGGTTCCTGTGAGAGTTATCTAATATTGGTCAACTGATAAAATGTTACTAATATTATGATAAATATTTTATCAGTTGACAACTTTTTGATACCTGCTACAAGAAAAGAGATATAGGAGCTCAAAGGTGAAAGGTTGTAGTCGCCGCTAAAGGGTGCCACTAGTTAATGGCTTTTTGATAGCTTTTACAGAAACAGAGATAAATAAGCTTGGCTTCCAAAGCACGTATCTCGCAGGTAATTTTTTCAGGAAGTTGTCCACTACAAAAACGAAGCTCTACTTTTGTTTTATATTCTCTGAAATTTTCAGAACAATCGGAAAACTTTGACCTACTTTTGCAGAGGCCTAAACTTTTCCTTTACCTATCGGCCTTCTTTTGCTAATTATCCCTACTTTTTTGGCCGCAGCCCAACAATGATTTCCCTTTCTATTCATCATTTTTCTATCATCTTCCTTATCACTCTCATAGAAAAATTTTCCCCCGACGCGATGTTTGGTCTTACTAGAATTCTACCCAAAACACGTGGTTGTGTGAAGTCGTCGACAGAGAGGAACTTTCGAACTTATCATACATTGATAACAAGAAGATATCAGAAGAGGAAACTAGAGAAATGAGACGCAGAAAAAAGTGGCAAAAATCGAAAATCATTATTTTTGTATGGTTGGTGGTCAGTGGGCTAATTATAGTGTGGGTTATTGTTGCTACCTGGCATGTAGGTGGTAAAGGGGGCAGGTGTAAAAGTGACGTGGCATCATTTTTAGATTATGATCTTCAAAGGGTTTTTCCTTTTGGCCTAGAATACGAGGGCGTTTTCAGGGTGCATGTTTCCCCGGATATCCAATTTTGCTTGCAAGAGCTACCGTAATTGCTCTAATAGAACCCGCACTTTGAGTTCAATTATCTCGGTTCCTGTGAAAGATATTTCAAATTTGCCATTCAATAAATATTTATTATGTTATCAGCTACATTTCATCAGTTGATATGTTTTTGATATCTTTTAAAGGAACCAAGATAATTGAGCTTGCAGCCTAGGGGACGCAGGCGCTGCTGGCCGTGTAGCTCGCGCCGATATGTTCTTTGAGCTCAATTATCTTAGTTCCTATTAGAGATATCATAAATTTGTCAACTAATAAAATATTTTTCATGTTATTAGCTACATTTTATCAGTTAAAATTTTTTGACATCTCTTATAGGAACCGAGATAATTAAGCTCAAATGGAAAGTACCTGGGGGTCTTCGATTAGAGGAACTACCGTAGTTTGATTAGTCGGAAGACTAAGAATCCAGAGATTTCGAAAAACCGGAAACTGCAAAAATATGCAACACATGACACAATAGTGTAGATCACAATAAAAATAGTGATTCTTTGATTTTTGGAAAGTGTGAATGATCAATTTTGACATGGATCAGTTGATCTTTGAAAGTTTTCATTGACAACTTTAGTGTTTTCAGAAGTCAGAAAATCAAATGATCAAGATTTTGAGATTCTGACAATGAGATCTAGTATGGTTCAGTGTTTTAAGGAGTCAAAAATGCAGAAGGTTTTGAGATTCGGACTGCGAATGGCTCAGATCCGTAGGTGATACAGTACCCTGAAGATGTGAATCGCTACTTCTTGAACTCGTCAAACAGTTTCACTTTCCCATCTATTGACAAAATGTTCACAAAATGATCTAGATCAGACTATCAACGTCATCTAAAGAGAGAAATCGAACAAGGGATTTTTGATGTGTAAACAATCTGATGTTATACACTTTGGACCTATAAGGAAGTAAGGGATCTTCAAATCGAGTTATCTCGAATCCTGGAAGAGGTAGCGCGAAATTTTCAACTATTAAAATTTGAAGGGTTTTGTGTTAAACATTTTGTTAGTTGGAATTTTTAAACTGGCTTTTCTATTAAATGAGATAATTAGATTCGCCAGACAAGTAGACTGGTAGATCAAAAATGTTCTGTTCCTTTAAGTCAAAAACAAAAAGTTGTCAGTTATCAAAGATGATAAATCTGAAATTTTCGATTTCAGATTTCCAGATTCTAGGAATCCCAAAACCTTATAATCATAAATTCTCCGAATTTCAAAATACCAGGATTTCAGAACCCTAGAACCTTGATCGTCCGACGTTTGGCTTTCTGACAGCCTAACCTGGCCCAGGGCCGCGGCCGACCACGGCCGCATTCCGACCGTTTTAATGATGATAGTCTAGTTTTCTTTCTCACCGATCTATGTTCCAAACGATGAAACTGATAGATCAAAAAGATACACACATTTCGTTGACAAACTTTTTTTCTTTTTTTCCCAGACACCTATATCAACGGATGCTGTTCCAAAGGTCAAAAATTGAAGATCTATGAATTTTTATGATGCAAAAAAAGGCTTATTGTCATCATGGATGGGTCTGAAGGATTTGCCAAAAGAAGCGGAGTGTGTAGCTCTGATGTTAGATCTTTGAGTATTGAACGAGCTACGCGATGGATGTCGACATAGCTAATGCAACCTATACTTTGAGCTCACTTATCTCAATTTCTATAAGAGATATAAAAAATTTTTAAACTAATGAAATGTTGGAAATGTTACGGCAAACATTTTATCAGTGACCAGCTTTTTGATATCTCTTATAGTAACCGAGATAATTAAGCTGCAAGAATAGAGGTGGTAAGCGCGACCGACGGCGCAGCTCGCGCCAGTTTATACTTTGAGCTCACTTATCTCGGTTCCTGTAAAAGATATCAAGAATGTGTCAACTAATAAAATGTTTGAGGCATTATGATAAACATTTTATCAGTTGACAACTTTTTTGTATCTTTGACAGGAAGCGTAATAATAGAGCTGCAAGCAGAGGGGTCGCAAGCGCCACCGACAGCGTGACAATCTATTCACTGAGCTCAATTATCTCGATTTCTGTCAAAGAAGTCAAACATCTGTAAAAGGACAAAATGCTGGAAATTTTATGACAAACATTTTATTAGTTGACCACTTTTTGATATCTTTCATAGGAACCGAGATAATAGAGCTACAAGCTCAGCACGTACAACTTTAGTCTTAATGTCTTATTTTTCCAGATTTGAAGTTTTCAATTTTCAAAGATCTTTCCTTTGTGTATCTTGATCATTCTACCCTTGTTTCACTTTTTCTCTAGCCGCGTATCTTGTAGCAGGACGGAAAAAAGAATCATCACACATATCAAAGGATGATAAAGGGATCTTGATAATAGTATGATGACAATTACGCGACTTTTCTCAATAGTAATTATATATTTCTTCAGATATTCCAGATTTCGTCACCCTTCACCGCTAGCAGCAAAAATTCGTTCATTGTTGTCGAAACGTTTAGAATGTGTCTACTAAACACGTACATAATGCGTACAATACAATCCGAATTCGTTCTGTGATCGGACATGAAGAAAGCATGTGAATGGGAGATTCGGAGATTTTGAGATTCGGAGATTCTGACATTCCGAAATTCTGAAAATCCAATTCTCTGAAAACCCAAGATTCTTGGAATTTCCAAATTTTACAACTACAAACTAGACACAAAGTCTGTTCCCATGTGGTGATCACAAAAACACTAGAAACCCATAAATGTCATTTTTTATACATTTTTATGGTTATACAACATCACTGATCTAACATCAGTCACCATTGGATGATCTAGGAAAGCTTGGGAATTAGAAAAAAAATCGATTTATCTTGGCTCATCATTAATTTAGTGGACCTATTTTGAAAAGAATTCCGAATTTTAGAATTTCTTTGCGTTTTTTTTTCATCCAGATATCCCAAGCTGTCGACTCCGAGAAGTCGAGAAAGCCACCACCACTTATGCGACTTCCTCGCCAAAGGGAAAGCTAGCTGTGTGGTGTCGGGGATGTGTACTGCGCTGGTGTGCGGGAGGTGGTGTGTTCTATCCCCGCCCCAGTTTTTTGTTCGTTTCTTTCTTTTTTAAACTTTGTTTTTTTTGGATTTTGATCATTTTGATGCAATTTCAAAGGATATTTATTGTTTTTCTAGAAGCTAGTATCATTCCATTACCTCATTTCCTCCTACTATACAAACTCATATGCTTTGTTCTCATTTCCCTCTAGAGCTCTGGCCTCCATTTTTCCTTTTTTTTCTCCCTCACGAATTCGTTTCCCTTGGTTACCCAGCCTACTACTTTTTCAGCCTTCTTCTTCTTCTTCCTCTCATTACATATTCTAATATTAGCATTGTTGTCTGAAAACTCTGAAAATTCTGAGAATGTGTACCCCAGGATCTTCAATTTGTTGTATATTTCCAATGGAATTCTTCAAGAAAATTATTTTCAAATGTCAAAAAGCAGAAGAACCCAAGGAAATTGTGTTCAAACCGTTTCGATTATTGAATCTTCCAGATGTGGTGCTTATTCAGGTGCTCCAGGGTATGAGTCCAATTCAGATGTAAGTTTTATTCAAACTAGAAAAAATTGCTTATCTTGGACAAAAAAAATTATCTCAAAAGCTCTTTTTTGAGCCAAGTTATAGCTCTTTGACCTTGTTGTTCAACCTTTTAAGTTCACTCTACATTTTCAAGCTCAATTTTTAAAAAATCCTAAAAAGTTTTTGCATTTTCGGAATCTCTGGAAAATTTTCAATCTTTTCTAAAAAAGAAAATTTCCAAACTTCTTCTCTAGACCGAGTTACAGCCATTTTAAGATAGCTCGTCCTTCTCCCCCTCTCTTCTCCTAAGCCCCGCCCCTTTTACACACAAAACATAGCGGGCGGCGGAACCCGGGAGGTGTCGGCCGCTTGGCTACCCTACCCCTTATATACGCGTTGCGTTTTCCAAGGTCTTGTTCTTCCGAGAACATATACTAAAATTGGAACAATACAGAGAAGATTAGCATGGCCCCTGCGCAAGGATGACACGCAAATTCGTGAAGCGTTCCAAATTTTTTGCCGAATTATATAGGTCATATTTTCCAGAAATCTATTCCAGAATCGAGCTAACATTCTGCTCTAAACGAACTCGTCTAATTATTCAATCGTATGTGAAATCAATCATGAAGCATTACGAAGTAACTGCCAAATTTGGTGGTCCAACTAATCGAGTGCGCTTTTCAAGCTCGAAAAATCCTGAAATTTATCACAAGCTGATAATGGAGGATTCGTTGTTTGCCAGAGAAATGAATATGACTAGAAGATTCATAGCGAATCGTTCCGTGAAAGCTGTGTATCGAGAAACGTATCCAGGATCTTTGATCACTTATTGGATGGACCCGATTATTGGAGCACAGAAGTTTACGGAATATGTGTGCGCTACGTTTAGGTGTAATGTCACAGTGGAGTTGGGTTTGAGGGTGAGTAGACCGCAAATGCGCTCTACTGGACAAAACTATTGTATTTAGTTTCGAAAGATTTGTTCAGAACTTTCGGAAAATAATTTTTTAAATTTTATTTTAAAAAATCCAGCCTTATGCCAGACTTTATCATACATTTTTGCTTTCATATTTTTCGAGAGGAATAGGAAAAACCAGAATTTTCAAAAAAAAAAGTCCAAGAAAAACTTAAAATTTGTTTTTTAAATTCGAAAATTCCTTAAAATTCAGATTCTTTGGAAATTTTGGGGTTTTCAAAAAACTTCTGGGAATTTTTGATTTTTCCAAAAAACTTGAGATTCTGAAAACCTGATATTTTGAAAATCTCAGATCCTGAGATGCTTAAAATCTGAAAATCTGAAAAATCTGAAATTCTGAAAATTCTGGAATTCTGAAAATCCAAAAACTGGAAACTTTCTGAGAGTTCGTGATTCAGAAAATCGAATATTCTGAAATTTTGAAATTCGGAAATTCGTAAATTCAGAGATTCTGAAATTCTGAAAATCGGAGATTCTGAGATTCCAACTCGGAATGTCTGAGATTCAGAAAATAGGCTATTCTGAAATTTTGAAATTCCGAGATTCGGAAATTCGGAAATTCGGAAATTCTGAAAATCTGAAATTCTGACATTCTGAGATTCTGAGATTCTGAAATTCTGAAGTTCTGAAATTCTGAAATCCTGAAATTCTGAAATTCTAAAATTCCAGCTATCCAAAAACTCCCGAAAATCCCTCCAAATCCTCGACTGGATTCAGGAAAATGAGCAATGCGTGAAATGTGTCAAATTTCAAGAAAACGCGTCTGAAAATGAGATTTTAATGTTTCTGGAGACAACGCGATGGACCAAAGATGTCATTAAAGCTGTCGAATAAGGATTCTTAGATTCTTCGACATATTTTATAAAATCTTTATTCTCAATTTTCATTCTTTATTCAAAGACAGTAAATAATCAATAAGTCATTTTCCCAGTTGTCACTCTCTATGCTTTGATGGCCACTCCCTTCTCCTTCTCCTCAGCAGCCGCCTTCTCCCCTTGTCTGAAACAAAAATCAATGAATCAATAAATCGATAACCCCTCTTAGGTCCCCTACCGATTCTGAACGGCTCGTTTTGCCAATTTTCTCTGCGCATGCTTCTTGTACTGCGTCATAAACGCTTCAATACGTCCGTTGAGCTCCACGACGCCATCCTGAAAAAAAATCCGTGTACAGATATCCAGATGTCCATCTTACATCAATAAAGTACTGCATAAGTGCCACGTAAAGGAACAAAAACTGCATATGCGATTGGACGGCTTGGAAACGCATTGCACGCATCTCCCGAACAATTTCCACCATTTCAATGTTCGGATTCTCCATGATACGCAACGTCGCGTAGTCGATTCCTGTAGAAATCAAAAAATCTGTGTTTCCGAATATCCAGATGTTTATCCTTACCAACAAACGTGGCAGTTCTACCCACTCCTGCACTACAATGAACACAAATCGGGGTTCCTTTCGGATTCACGTTCTTCACCCATTTGTAGAGCTCAATCATTGGACGAGCGTCTTCCGGAGCGAGTTGGTCGGGCCACCATGGGACCTGGAATTTTGAAAATAGTATGAAAATGTAGGAAAATGAATTTCACAAATTTTTGTAATTGGTAGCTTTTTCATAGCTTAATTAGTTACCGAGACACAGGCGTTTGAAATCAGAGATAGGCAAAATGAGTATTTAAACTTTGAAGGCTTGTATCTCGCGAACGCTCGGAACTAGCCTAAAATTGTAAACTAACAAAATGTGTAAAATTAAATCTTACACATTTTAATAATTAAAAAAATCAAATATCTTTTTTAGTTAATGAGATACAAGCGTTTGAAGTTTTGGTGTAAAAATAAAGGGGAGGTGGGTGAGCGGCGCCTGCGTCTGCGCACTCCTCCAACTTTGAGAGCGTGTATGTTACGAACGGTTAGAGTTAGCTAGAAGTTTTAAACTGCAAAATTGTGTAACGTTTAATTTTACACACATTGCTAATTTGTAGTACTTGGCTAGCTTAATTGGTTAGCGAGATACAAGCGTTTGAAATAAGGGATAGACAAGTTGGCTATACAAACTTTAAAATTTTATATCTCATGAACGGTTTGAGCTAGCAAAAGCTGTAAATTACCGAAATGTGTGAAATTCAATTTCAAAAATTTTGCTGATTTGTAAATTTTAGCTAGCTATAACGGTTAGCGAGATACAAACCGTCGAAGTTAAGGAGTCTATTTTTGGCGCATTCATTTTTGAAGCCGTATATCTCAAAAACTACATTAGCTATCAAAAAGTTGTCAACTAACAAAATGTGTAAAATTTTATGTTCTTTAAGTTGCATAGTTTAGTTGTATGTATATCTTTTTCAGTTTTTGAAATATGCGGGCTCAAAACTTGTCTACTTTTTTTCCGCATTTTTATAGTTAAACTCTGCGCTTTATACATCTCTAATCCGTAGTTCGGCTCGATTTTTTATAACTAACAAACTTCTATAAAATTTTCTATTCTATTTTTCCCCAGTTAATACTTTTTTCCTCTTTTTTCCCTTGCTCTTTTCCTTTTCGAGATTTCCCCTTTTTCCAAATAAAGCACTCGGCTCCCTTTCTCTCCTCTCCCCCCACCGGCGCCCTCTCCCCCCTCCTAACCAACATCCGCGCTCGTTGCCAAATGTGCTGCGATGTCCGAGTGGTTAAGGAGTTGGACTTGAAATCCAATGGGCATTGCCCGCGTAGGTTCGATTCCTGCTCGCAGCGGATTTCTTTTTCCCTCGTTTTGCTTCTTTTTTATTCCTTTCCCACCTGCACATGATTCATATAAAGTGGCTCTGACGCCGGATCAGCAGTATCCACCACAGTCAGCGCGTTCCAAATGGTTCCAACGATCGCTTCCTCTTTACACTCCGTCAATGTAATCTCGTATCTTCCAAACTTCACAACTTCTCCCAGTTTCTCCGGATAATAAAGGACACACTTCTCAACGCCGCCTTCAAACAGGGTGCACAACATCAAGACATAGGAAATCTTCTCCTGATATATCATGTGCCAAAAATCGGCCAACGTCTCCGGAAGTGGTCCTTGAGTCGTGATATATGTCGTTTGATCTTTTCCAGGCATTCTCATCCAGGAGGCGTGAATGTAGTCTCTCTCATGATTCTTCAGGATCACACGAGTCTCTTCGATGCATCGAACATCCGTGTAGCGATTGAGATCCGGATTCGCTTCGTAGGCCGTGTAGGTGCAGTTCGGTGGCATGTAACCCTTGATCTTGTCTTGATGCAGTTTGCAGATTGATTGGCATTTCTGGAAATATTGATTTTCGATTTCAAATACCCATTTTAGCCCCCCCCCCTCCCTTACTATTTTGGCCGCTTTAAACGCCCAAATCTTCCTTGGATCACTTCCGGGCTCCGGTGGCTTCTCATTATCCTCCTCATCCTCTTCCTCCTTCTTCTTCTCCACAACCTTCTTACTCTTCTTACTCTTATCCTTCAACTTCTCCAGACTCAATCTTATCTTCCGACTCTTACTACTTCCATCCTTCTTCTTCTTCGTCGATTTCTCCTTTTCCTTCTCCTTATCCTCTTCCTTACTCTTACCATTCTTCCCACCATCACCTTCTTCTTCTCCCGAACCCTTCACTGGAAGGATCTTGCTCTTCTTCTTATTCTCCTTCTCCTTCGAGTTCTTCTTCTCACCGCCGTCACCTCCTGAATCCGTGTTCTTCTCTCGGATGCCGACGAATTCTTGTCGGTCTTCGCTGCTTCTTGTGGTGGTGGTGGAGGAACTAGTGAGCCACGTCGGCCTTCGATAGATGGGGATTCCTTTGAGTTGGGTGTCTGAAAATTTGTAACATTAAATTTCACACATTTTTTTAGTTCGGAACTTTTTGCTAGCTTTCACCGTTTGCCAAATACAATCATTTAAAGTTGGGTGGGCGGCGCCAAAACTTCAAACGCATGTATCTCGGAAACCGTAAGAGTTATCAAAAAAACGTTGTAAACTATCAAAATGTGTGAAATTCAATTTCACACATTTTTGTAGTTAACAACTTTTTGATATCTTTTTTAGTTGTTGAGATACAAGCGTTCCAAGTTAAAGAGAGTGTGCACCCTCGGCACCTATATCAAATGCTTATGTATATCTTTCCAACCAATTGAGATATTAAAAAGTTGTAAACTAACAAAATGTGTAAAATCAAATTTGACACATTTTCGTAGTTAGCAACTTTTTGCTAAAATTTACCTTTCTTCAGATACAAGCGTTTAAAGTAGAGTGAGCTTCTCCCCCTATATTTTAGACGCCAACACTTCAAACGCTTGTATTTCGCTAACTAAAAATTATTAAAAAGTTGTTTACTACAAAAAAGTGTAAAATCAAATTTTACACATTATAGTGATTAATTACTTTTAGCTACCTTTAACCAGTCGCGAGATACAAGCGCTAAAAGTTAGGTGAGCGCGCATGCAGTGGGCACCCACCCTACTCCTTTCTTTAGGCATCCAAACTTCAAGCGCTTGTATCTTGATAACTAGAAACAATATTGACAAGTTGTGAACTATCAAAATATGCAAAATCGAATGTTGCACATTTTGATAGTGAACAACTTTTTGCTAGCTATCACAGTTTGCGAGATACAAGCGTTAAAAGTTAGGTGAGCGCGCATGCAGTGAGCGCCACCCACCCTCCCCCTTTCTTTAGGCATCAAAACTTCAAGCACTTGTATCTCGCTAACTAAAAGAGGTACCCAAAAGTTGCAAACTATCAAAATGTGAAAAATCAAATTTCACGCATTATTGTAATTAATTACTTTCAGCTAGCTTTTACCAGTCGCGAGATACAGGCATTCTAAGGTGGGTATGCGCTCATGCGCGGCGCCTAAACTTCAAACGCTCATATCTCCTTAACCAATTAACCTATTACAAATATTCCGACTACCGAAAGCCCCCCAAACTTTGCACCTTTTCCTTTTTCGCAGCACACGACATCAAAACATAACCGCTGGCGACGAGAATCGACGTATTGCAAATGCCAATCAACGGATTAATCCAGTTATCGCTCATCGCTCTTCTCTCCAAAAAACTCGAGATCACTGCTATTTTTCGTCTTTTACAAGAAGTGTGGTGCCGAGTGCAGTGTTGGCTTATTTTTTTATTAATTTATCGATTTTTTTAAGGTCACTAGAGTAGAGCAGGTTTTTACGGGTTAACAGATTGAAATCTTTATTGGATTACATAGAGAGAAAGAGATCAAAAAGTGGAATTTTAGCGAAATTCGAGTTTTTAGGTTGTTGAGATCGATTATCGATTTATTGATTCCGCTCCTCGTCCAACTGGCTTCTGGATCCTCGGAAATTCCTGGATTTGCGGCAAGCTTTGCATCGAGAGAGCCGCAAATTCTCCCAGGATTCTAGAAACTCCGCGTTGTTCCTGGAATTGTGCCATGCCAAAATTTCAGTGTCGGTTGTCTGAAAAAAATTTCGAGATGTCAAATTTTGGAATTTATAAAATTTGAAGTTTTTCTCTAACTTTTTCGCTAGCTTCCACCTTCAGCGGAGCGCGCACCCACCTTTTTGGCGCCAAAACTTCAAGCGCTTCTATCTCAACAACTAAAAGAGAAACCAGAAAGTTGTAAACTACAAAAATATGTAAAATTAAACTTCGCATATTTTCTTATTTAGCAACGTTCAGCTAGCTTTTACTGTTCGCGAGATACAAGCGTCCAAAGTTGAATTGGCGCGCGCCAATTGGCGCAACCTTTTATTTTGGTTCCCTATCTCAACGACTAAAAAAGATATCAAAAAGTTGTAAACTACAAAAATGTGTAAATTTAAATTTTACACATTTTTGTAGTTGACAACTTTTTGTTAGCCTGCACCGTTCAAAAGATACAAACGTTCAAATTTGAGTGAGCGCGCACTCATGGCAGTTGAAACTTTTTTGGCAAATTCGCCCCACCGAACATACCAGCTCATCACACATATGAATAAATAACAAATGCTTCTTCTCGACACCAACGTCTCCTGCTAGAAGTCCACTGATGAGGGCGTCCTCCGCCTGTTTTGAAAAATTCAAAATTTTCAAAAAAAAAACAATTATCAATAGAGCAAACTTGCATACCGAAATAAATTTCCGGTGTTTCGTGGATTTTAGAATTCGTTCTGCGGCTTTTCGAGTGGTCAAATAAAATGGTCCATAGAGGTAGGATGGGAAGAGTGGACATTTGAAAGAGGACGTTGGGATGAACCTGGAATTTTTAGAATTTCAGATTTTCCGATTCTCAGAATGTTTTCCAGAATTACAGAACTTCAGAATTTCAGAATTTCAGAATTTCAGAAAATTTCAGAACTTCAGAATTTCAGAATTTCAGAATTTCAGAATTTCAGAAAATTTCAGAATTTCAGAATTTCAGAATCTCAGAAATTCAGATTTTTTAATTTTTAGGTTCTCAGGATTTCAAAATTTTGGAATTTCAGAATTTCAGAACTTCAAATTTTCCAAACTTTGTAAAATTTTCAGAAATTGCAATTTCGAAAAAGTGACCAAAATTGGCCAAAATTCAAAATTTTCGATTTTTCAGTATTTTAGAATTTTGCAAAAAAAAATAAACTTTTGAAATTTTAGTGTGTCCAATAGAGCGCATTTTCTTACCATTTACTCGTCTTCTTATTGACCACCTCAACTCCGGCATTCCTTTTGTTCCCGTAAATCGTAGAAATCGACATATTGATCGTTCCATCATTGATTAGAGGAGTCAGTTGGTCCGGATAGAAAATCACGTCTTCATCGATTTTTCCAATTAATTTCACGGATTCTGCAGCCTTCGATTGTCCGTAGAGCAGGATTGTTAGACTCTGAAAATGTTAAGAAGTTTTGAAAATTTTAAGAAAACCGGAGAATCCGAAAATTCGAAAAATCGAAATTTTTGACCAACCTTATAAGGTAAATTCCGATAAGTGTCCTCCAAATCAACCACAATCATATCTCCAAAAAGCTGTGCCTCCTTCAAAACTACCGTATTCTCCTTTTCATTTTCCGAATTGACCCCAACCAAAAACAAGATCTTCATTCGTTTTTCAGCCACTATTTTGTTTTTGTCCGAATTCATCCAACTTTTTCTTATCACATTACGCCGCGCAAAATTGTCCCGATTCGATGAGACAATCATCAAAATGTCCGGATTTCCAGAAATTTCTTTTGGCAAAAAAATCCATTTGAATTCTTTTTGAACGTCAGCGAACACGATTTGATATGTTTCGTTGTTGATTTCCGAGGACACATTGAGGGATTTGTCTGAAAATGTCTTAAAATCTCTAGAAATCTCTAAAAAGTCCACTCACTCTCCTGCCACTCTTCCTGAATGCACGCTCGATCGGCTTCGGAGAACTTCGGACTCGCTCGGAGAACTGAAAACATGAATACGGTAGGTTCCTAAGGTTGGAAACATGAATCAAAAATGAATCTTGCGTATTTGAAAACCCAAAAACTCAAAATTTAAGATTTTTTAAGTTCGAAAAAATCCCAAAAACTCACACAAAAACGCCAGTGATGCCACTACGATGAGAGTGATCAGAATACGGTTAACAATCGTTGATGCACGACGGTGTCTGGATAAAATTCGATTAGGTACTAATCGAATTCACTACTTTAAAGGGCTAATGTGGGGGAGTTGGTTATTAGGTATTCGCCGAGTTTAGGGTGCTAAGCCTGAATGGGAAATCTTACTTGAAGTTCCATTCATAAAAACGCAGCCATTGAAAAATTGGAATGCGCATCGCAATTGTTTCGAAATGAATTGTGTGGAAATCGAGTTTTTCTGATTTACCAGCAAGCTGGTGCGCCTTCGGCGGCATTCAATCTATTTTTTTTCTGGTTCGTGGCTCCGCTCCTCAATTATTCTTGAAGGGTCACGCACGTGGGTTCAGGCGAGGGGGTCAGAAAGCGCGCCCCAGTAATTTTTTCGAAAGTTCTCAATTGGCTGCTGAGAGTTCGTTGACTGACAATCATACTTTAATGCATTAGGTCGAGAAGACGAATATTTTTTTTCAATATTTTCCGATGTTTTCTTTCGTTTTAGCTCGTTTTTTCTCGTTTTTTCCCCTTTTTTCAGTGAAAATTAGTTGAAAAAAGTTTCAACTTATTTATTAAGGTGATAAGTCCAATGCTACCGCCTCGTGCAGTGATGAGCCAAGTGAGCGAATGGAAGAAAGCTCGATTTTCGACGTTTTTTTGAGGTGAGTTTTTGAGGTGGGATGTCATGTCCTTAGGTGATATTAAATGCATTGAGGTTCTTCCATAATTATTAATTCTTTATTAGAGGTTATTCAATAATTCGTTCTATTTTCAGAGCAACCAGAATCCGGCATCCGATTGCGAAGGCAACAACGACACGAGCTGTGCACATGAGAAGTCGGATGGATCATCGTGAGAAGTCGCATGGATCAATTGGGTTTAATAATAATTGTTATCTCTCTTGTTATATGTCATGAATCTCAATAAATGGTCATATATTGCCTTCCCCTTCCTCGGAAAATTTAGGGAGAACAGCAACATAAATGGAGCAGTATTCACCGAAAAAAAACGAATTCATAGCCTTCTGTATCGTTAAAAAACATTAGAAATAACCACGTGAAATCCACGTGTCATTTTGAATTAGTTAATTTCGGCTGGCCTACGAGTTAGCTGGGGCGCGCTTTCTGACCCCCTCGCCTGAACCCACGTGGTCACGTAAATATATTTATATTTTCCAAGCTTTTACACTTTCCGCTTACCACTACCCCATTATCTGTGTGCCTGTTTTTCGGGATTTCCAGATTTCCAGAATTCCGGAAAAAAAACTTTCGTGGCAACAATTTTTTTGTAGTAGGCGAAAGGCCCATACTCCCAGGGGGCATCGAAATAGGGGGCATCGTGCTCAACGGGGGCATACACTCATAGGTGTCAATAACTCATAGGGGGCATCCTGAAGTTGTGCCCTAGGGGGCATCCCACCATGTCTCATAGGGGGCATCGGACCAGATGCTCCCAGGGGGCATTGATAGTCTCATAGGGGTCATTGAGATCAATTTGAGTATATGATTCTGAACACGATGAATTTTTATTTTTACATCTTTTTCGTAGTTTTTTTGAGGAAAACAAACACAATTGCAGACTATCGAAGGTGTTATTTCGGAGGGTCAACTGGGTAGAATTTCGGCCAAAAATTCGACAAAAATTCGGGGGTACAATTCATTTCATTCAGGGGTACAACGCTTGTGATTCGGGGGTACAGTTTTTTTTTGAGGGAGTTTCTGAATTCCAGATTTTCAGAGCTTGAAAATCTCAGAATTCTTAGAGTTTGAGAACTTTGAAATTTCAGTATTTCGGAATCTGAGAATTTCGGAACTTCAGAGTCTGAGAATTTCAGAATGTTAGAATTTCAGAACTTCGAAATCGCAGAACTTCAGAATCTCAATATTTTTGAATTTTTAAAAATTACGACAGAAAATGTTCACTTCTCATTGTCACATTGTTCTTTTTGATTTTGTGTCATATTTTTCACTCATTCAATGATCTATAAAATTATGAAAAAATGAGAAATATTCAATTACCACGAAATTGAGCAAAATTGAGAAAAATTGGGAAAAAACGAAAATTTGAGAAAAAAAAGAGAAGATTGGGAAAAACCGAAGGAATATTGAGAAACAGAAGAAAATGAAATAGAATTGAGAAAAATTGAAAGTAGTGACTGAGTTTTTAAACCTGAATTAAGCATTAAAGTCCTGAGTTTGTAAAACTTGTCAAGATTATTTTACAGTTCTCTGTTGTATGCTTTCCTGAAATTTCGAGACTCAAAACCTCAAAAAAAAAACTAATGCCTTTCAGCACAGCACAATTTCCACAATTTTTTTCATGATGAGTGAAAAATATGACACAAAATCAAAAAGAACAATCAAAAGACAATGAGAAGTGAACATTTTCTGTCGTAATTTTTAAAAATTCAAAAATATTGAGATTCTGAAGTTCTCGATTTCGAAGTTCTGAAATTCTAACATTCTGAAATTCTCAGACTCTGAAGTTCCGAAATTCTCGGATTCCGAAATACTGAAATTTCAAAGTTCTCAATTTCTAAGAATTCTGAGATTTTCAAGCTCTGAAAATCGGGAATTCAGAAACTCCCTCAAAAAAACTGTACCCCCGAATCACAAGCGTTGTACCCCTGAATGAAATGAATTGTACCCCCGAATCATTGTACCTCCGAATTTTCGGCCGAAATTCTACCCAGTTGACCCTCCGAAATAACACCTTCGATAGTCTGCAATTGTGTTTGTTTTCCTCAAAAAAACTACGAAAAAGATGTAAAAATAAAAATTCATCGTGTTCAGAATCATATACTCAAATTGATCTCAATGGCCCCTATGAGACTATCAATGCCCCCTGGGAGCATTTGGTCCGATGCCCCCTATGAGACATGGTGGGAGGCCCACTAGGACACAACTTCAGGATGCCCCCTATGAGTTATTGACACCTATGAGTGTATGCCCCCGTTGAGCACGATGCCCCCTATTTCGATGCCCCTGGGAGTATGGGCCTAGGCGAAACGATGTGGTTGGTCTGAAAATCCTAGAGTAGAGCAGGTTTTTACGGGTTAACAGATTGAAATCTTTATTGGATTACATAGAGAGAAAGAGATCAAAAAGTGGAATTTTAGCGAAATTCGAGTTTTTAGGTTGTTGAGATCGATTATCGATTTATTGATTCCGCTCCTCGTCCAACTGGCTTCTGGATCCTCGGAAATTCCTGGATTTTCGGCAAGCTTTGCATCGAGAGAGCCGCAAATTCTCCCAGGATTCTAGAAACTCCGCGTTGTTCTTGAAATTGTGCCATGCGAGAATTTCAGCTTTTGCGGTGTCGGTTGTCTGAAAATTTTAGAATTTTAGAATTTTTGGACTCTTAAATTTTTGGAATTTCGGAATTTTTGAATTTTCGAAAATTCTAATTTTCAGGACTTTCCGGATTTTTAGGGGGTTTTAATAGTTTTGAAAGTTTTAAGAAATTTTGAATTTTTGAATTTTTGAATTTCAGAATTTTAGAATTTAAGAATTTTAAAATTTTAGAATTTTTGAATTTAGAATTTTTAAATTTTTGAATTTTTGAATTTAGAATTATTAAATTTTTAAAATTTTGAATTTTAGAAGTTTTTAAGTTTTCAGATTTTCGGAACATCCGAATCTCAGTGTTTCCGATCTTACCGTTTCATCGTACATATACATAGATGGCAATTGCTTCTTCTCGACACCAACGTCTCCCGCTAGAAGTCCAGTGATGAAGACGTCCTCCACCTGAAAATTTGAAATTTTCAACTTTTTATCAATAGAGCAAACTTGCATACCGAAATAAATTTCCGGTGTTTCGTGGATTTCAGAATTCGTTCTGCGGCTTTTCGAGTGGTCAAATAGAATGGTCCGGAGAGGTAGGATGGGAGGAGTTGGCATTTGAAAGAGTACTTTGGGATGAACCTGGAAGTTTTGGATTTTCAGATTTTTTAGATTTTCAGAATTTCAGAATTTCCGGTTCTTACCATTTATTTGTCTCATCCTTATTGCTTACTTCAACCCCGGCATTCCATTTTTCTCCATAAATCGCTGAAATCGACATATTGATCGTTCCATCATTGATGAGAGGAGTCAGTTGGTCCGGATAGAAAATCACGTCTTCATCGATTTTTCCAATTAATTTTACGGATTCTGCAGTCTTCGATTGTCCGTAGAGCAGGATTGTTAGACTCTGAAATTGTTCGAAATATTTTTTTTCTGAAAGTTTGACCAACCTTATAAGGCAAATTCTGATAATTGTCTTCCAAATCAACAACAATTATATCTCCAAAAACCTCTGCTTCCTTCAAAACTACCGTATTCTCCTTTTCATTTTCCGAATTGACCCCAACCAAAAACAAGATCTTCATTCGTTTTTCAGCCACTATTTTGTTTTTGTCCGAATTCATCCAACTTTTTCTTATCACATTACGCCGCGCAAAATTGTCCCGATTCGATGAGACAATCATCAAAATGTCCGGATTTCCAGAAATTTCTTTTGGCAAAAAAATCCATTTGAATTCTTTTTGAACGTCAGCGAACACGATTTGATATGTTTCGTTGTTGATTTCCGAGGACACATTGAGGGATTTGTCTGAAAATGTCTTAAAATCTCTAGAAATCTCTAAAAAGTCTACTCACTCTCCTGCCACTCATCCTGAATGCACGCTCGATCGGCTTCTGAGAACTTCGGGCCCGCTCGGAGAACTGAAAACGCTATTTGTAAAAGTCGAAAAATCTCAAAAACCCTGAAAAAATCACCAAAAACGCGATTTTCAACAAAAGTGGATTTTTGGCTCAGTGGGATTTTCGAAATCCACCAATCTGAAGGTCCCGGGTTCAAATCCCATCGGTGGCAATTTTTTTGCTAGTGTGAAAAAGTCTAAAAACTATCGGAAATGAGTCTTCTCGTTAAATTTCCCAGTTTGGATCATAATAACCAAAAATCGGATGTTAAATGCATTTTGGTGGCTTATGGAACGCCGTAAGCGCAACTTCCATTGGTTCTTGTGATTTGAAATCGTCAAATTCAAATTCAGGACCCTCGAAAATCCTCTTAAACTATAAAAAGTCCTCGAAAAACTTATTTTTAGAGGAATTTCCGAAACAGTATCCAGATGGCCGAGTGGGGTTATTCATGAGAAAATCTACCAATCTGAGGGTTCCGGGTTCGGACCCCACCGGTTGCATTTTCTTTTCGCAATTTTGTAAAACTCTAAAAATCTCAAAAAACCTGAAAAAATCACCAAAAACGCGATTTTCAACAAAATTGGATTTTTGGCTCAATGGGATTTTTGAAATCCACCAATCTGAAGGTCTCAGGTTCAAACCCCACCGGTGGCAATTTGTTTTTTGCTATTGTGAAAAGGTCTAAAAACTGTCGGAATTGAGTCTAATCTTTAAACTTCCCAGTTTAGATCATGAAAACAATTAATCGAAATTTAAATGCATTTTGGCATACTTGTAAAATTCCGGGCCGGCCCGCCAAAGCCCAGGCCCGGTCCGGGCCGGGCCTGAGGAAATTTTCAAGACCCGGGCCCGGCCCGGAAGGCCCGGTGTCAAAAATTCTGTATTTTTGAGCCAAATTTTGAGCTCTCAATATAATGTTTTCCATTTTTTTTTTCGTATTTCGGATTGTTTGTCTGTCTGATCAAAAAAGATCGAAAAACTCGAAAAAAATTTTTTTGGTCGAAAAAAATCACATAAGGGTCCCCCCTTATGTGTTTTTTGAAAATTTCGAAACTAGTGAAATGACGGGCCCGCCGGGCCTCCGAAATTCCGGAAAAAGCATGCATTTTGGTGGCTCGTGAGAAGCCATCAACGCTATTTCCATTGATTTTTGTGGTTCGAAAATATTAAATTCGGATTCAGGACCCTCGAAAACCCTCTTAAACAATAAAAAATCATCGAAGAACTTATTTTAAGAAAGAATTACAAAAAAGTGGCCAGATGATGGCCAAGTGGGATTTTTCATTTGAAAACCTACCAATCTGAGGGTCCCGTGTTCAAACCCACACAGTGAAACTTTCTTTTTGCATTTGTGTAAAGGTACAAAAAGCTCAAAAGACCTGGGAAAATCTTCAAAAAAGCATTTTTCCAAAAAGTGAACTTTTGGCTTAGTGGGATTTACGAAATCTACCAATCTGAGGGCCACGGGTTCGGACCCCACCGGTGCCGTTTTCTTTTTTGTTTTTTGTGTATACCTTCGAAAAGTGTCAAAAATTAATCTAGCATGTTTGAAAAACCCAAAAACTCAAAAAACAAATTTTTCAAAAATTCCAAAAAAAAACAAAAAACCCAAAAACTCACACAAAAATGACAGTGATACCAAAACGATGAGAGTGATCAGAATACGGTTAACAATCATTGATGCGCGACGATTTTGTCGCATTGGTGGCCTAGAAAATTATCTGTGTGTCTGTTTTTCCGGATGTCCAGATTTCCAGAACTTACGTGGCAACAATCTGTTCGTAGTAGGCGAAACGATGTGGTTGGTCTGAAAAACCGAAAATCACGCTTTTTTTCAGTTTTTGAGAAAAAAAAACTTTGTACCGAAATACTGAAGGCCAACTTCTTTTTTTTTCTACCTCAAAAACTAATTTTTGGCTGAAATTAGCTGAAATTTTAGAATTTCCAGACGTCTATAGAAATTTCTAGAGTGCTAATCAGTCTTTTTTACGCCTTTTGACATCTATACAAAAGCAAAAAAGAAAATGCCACTGGTGGGGTTCGATCCCGGGACCCTCAGATTGGTAGATTTCGAAAATCCCACTGAGCCAAAATTTCCCTTTTTTGGAAATCGCGTTTTTGAAGGTATTTCCAGGTTTTTAACGCTTTTTGACATCTACACAAAAGCAAAAAAGAAAATGCCACTGGTGGGAATTGAACCTGATACTCTCAGATTGATAGATTTTTACACCGAAAATCCCACTCGGCCATCTGACCTTTTTTTGGAAATCCCCCTAAAAATAGGCTTTTTGGCGATTTTTCATGGGTTTTGAAGTTTTCAATAGTCTTGAATTTGAATTTCATAATTTTGAATTAGAAAAATCAACGCCAAATGCATTTTCGACTGCCTAAAAACTATCAAAATGCATTTAAATTTCTGTTTTTTGGTTTTATGACCTAAAATGGGAAATTTAAAGTTTAGACACATTCCTGATAGTTTTTAGACCTTTACACATTTGCAAAAAAAAAATTGCCACCGGTGGGATTTGAACCCGGGACCTTCAGATTGGTGGATTTCAAAATTCCCTCTGAGCCAAAAATCCACTTTTGTTGAAAATCGCGTTTTTTGGCGATTTTTCTAGGTTTTTGAAATGTTTAGAGCTCTACACATTTGCAAAAAGAAAATGCCACCGGTGGGATCCGAACCCAGGACCTTCAGATTTGTAGGTTTTTTTTGTGAAAAATCCCACTAGGCCGTTTGACCACGTTTTTGGAAATTCCTCTAAAAATAGGGCTTCCGACGATTTTTCAAGGTTTTTGGGGTTTTAAATGGTTCTGAACTCAATTTTCGTAATTTTAAAATACAAAAGCCAATGAAAATCGCTTTTCGGAACAACAAAAATACTAGATTTATGACTCATAAAAAAGCCGAGAAAGAGCGAAAAAATAAACGGAGAAAAATGTGTTTTTTGTATTCACATACGCTATTTCCTGTGAGGTTTTTTTGTGCGCAAATACATTCAAATAGTGTTATATCAACACATAAAAATACGTTTTAATTCTTGAAACCAGTCAATAATTTCCAGTTTTTTCCTTTCTTTGACGATTTGGACGATTTTCTTAATATTAAAGAAGGTTTTCATAGTTTGAAACTTGGAAATTCGAACTCAGGACTATCAAAAACCCCAAAACCCCTGAAAAAACCATAAAAAATAGTCCAAAAACCTATTTTTAGAGGAATTTTCCACAAAGTGGGCAGGTGGCCGAGTGGGATTTTTCATGAAAAATCTACTAATCTGAAAGTCCCTGGTTCGAATCCCACCAGTGCCACCGTTTTTTCGCAATTGTGTGGAGATCTAAAAACTATCAGAAATGGGTCTAATCTTCAAATTACCCAGTCCAATTCATAAAAACAACGAATCAGAAGGTTAAATGCATTTTGATGACTTGGCGGAAGTAAACGCAGTTTTCGTTGGTTTTCATAGTTCAAAACTATTGAATTTAAATTCAGGACTATCAAAAACCCCAAAACCCCTGAAAAAATCATGAAAAGTCCTCGAGAAACCTATTTTTAGAGGAATTTTCAACAAAGTGATCAGGTGGCCGAGTGGGATTTTTCATGAAAAATCTACCGATCTGAGGGTCCTGTGTTCAAACTCCACGAGTGGCATTTTTTTTTTGTTTTTGTGTAGAAACCTAAAAACCTAAAAACCGCTACCTTGACACCTTCGAAAACACGATTTCTAAAAAATTGGAATTTCTGGCTCAGTGGGATTTTAGGAAATCTACCAATCTGGCGCAGTTTTTATTGGTTTTGTGGTTCATAACTATTAAATTCAAATTCAGGACCATTGAAAACATCGAAAATCATGAAAAATCGCCAAAACCCCCATTTTTGGAGGAATTTCCAAAAAAGTGGTCAGATGGCCGAGTGGGATTTTTCATGGGAAATCCACCAATCTGCAGGTCCACGGTTCGAACCCCACCGGTTTCATTTTCTTTTTGCAACTGTCTAAAACTCTAAAAACCTCAAATAAACTGGAAAAACCTTTCAAAATGCGATTTTCAAAAAATTGGAATTTTTGGCTCAGTGGGATTTCCGGAATCTACCAACCTGAAGGTCGCGGGTTCGAATCCCACCCGTGGCGTTTTCTTTTTTGCTTTTTTGTAGATGTCTAAAAATAAAAAAAAATGGGGTGCGAGCCTTCTAGAACTTTCTATAGACGTCTGGAAAATTCTGAAATTTCAGCTAATTTCAGCCAAAAATTTGTTTTTGAGGAAAAATATCGAAAAAAGAAAATAAGAAAATCAATGATTCATTTAAAACCGAAAGTGAGAGAGAGAGAGTGGGAAAAGCTGAGAGACGCAGAGAAAAGAGAGGAAAACGATAAAAACTGATAAGGAAAAACTGATATTTGCTCAGAACTTCAGAATTTCGAAAACGCAGAATTTCAGATTTTCCGATTTTCAGAATTCCAGAATTTCAGAATTCCAGAATTTCAAAATTTCAGAATTTCAGAATTTCAGATTTTCAGAATCTGACAATCTGAGAATCTTAGAATTTCACAACCTCAGAATCCCAAAATCTCAGAATCCTAGAATTTTAGAATTTCAGAATTTCGAAAATTCAGAATTTCTGAATTTCTGAAAAAACCAAAAAATCTGCAAATTCCAGAAAATTTTCTTTTGAACCAAAAATTTCAATCTTCATGGTCCTACAAAAATCTGAAAATTCAATTTTTTCGTTTTTTTGAAAATAGAAAGTGCACTTTTAATACTAATTTTCTGAAAAAATTGAGTTTGAAGCTGAGCAATCGTCTAAAAATTATTGTATTGTTATGGTCTATGTCCTAAAAGTTCAGCGCACTTTTTCTAGGATTTTTGTATTTTTTGAGATCAAAAATCAAAAAATTTGGAAAACCGGGTTACTGTAGATGATTGTTTTTCTCCTAAAATCTAGCAAATTTTCCTTCAAAATCTAGAGAATTTTTCAAAAAATTTAGAAATTTCCAGAAAAAAAATTTCAAAACTTTTTTTAAACTCTTTTTTCAGAATATCTGAAAATCTGGAAAAAAAGTGGGCGGAGCCTAATTTTCATGCTGCTGCTGCAATTGTATTTTTTGTCTAGAATCGTAAAAAAATTGAGTATAATTTTTTTTATTTTTTGTACATTTTTTTAAAGACGCTCGTCTTCAAGTATACTGTAGTTTGTCTAGACTGCTGCTGGAATTTCAGATTTCGGGAAAATTTTTTTTTTTTTAAATGTTTTTTTTGGAATTTCCAGAGTTTAAAAAAATTCAAAATTTCACCTATTTTTTTATTCTAGCAAAATATTCTGAAAACGCTGAAATTCAAAAAATAAAAATCCTAAAAATCCAAAAATTTCGAAAACAAATTTTTGGAAATTTTCCGAATTTTCGAAAAATTTTGAAAAAACTCCAAAAATGACGAATTCCAATATTCAACTATTCCCCTCCTAGTCAACAGACACAAACACACTCATAAATCCTCTGAAACCAGTTTTTTTTTGTTTTTTTTTTTGAAAACTTTTTTTATTAAAAAATCCAAAAAAATAAATTCTAGAATATTCTAAAACCCGAAAATTCTAGAAAAATGAAAATGAAAAAAAAAGGCAAAAGAGCTCGCGGAGCCCCATGGTTGCCAGGCATCACCCCTAGCAACATGGTCCCTTGAGGAGCAATGGTTGCTCAGCATTGCTCAGCATTAACGACTTCCAATTTGATTTTTTGGTTTTTTTTTTGAAATTTTGAGGCGCAAAAAATCATCTGAAATTGTATCTGAAAAGTGGAAAAAATCATTTTTCAATCCTAAAAATTTTTCAAAAATCTAGTTTTTTCTGGCTTATAATAAGTTAAAAATGTGAGATTTTTAAAGAAAAATAATACAAAAAATCATAATTTCAGTGATTAAAATTTACAAAAAAAGAGAGAGAGAGATCGAAATTTGAATACATATCAACGAGAGAAAAGAGGAAAATATGGTCGAATCGAGAGGAAAAATACTGAAAATTGGGGGGAAAATTTGAAAAAAATTCCTGAAAAACGTAGAAAAATGAGGGAGATTTTTGTGGAAATGGAATGGCTGGGGGGGGGTGGTGGAAAAATTGGGAAAAAATGGGGATAAAATGAGAAAATTTCAAAGTGAAAATGGCCGAAAAAAATTGGGGAAAATTTGGAAGAAAATGAGGAATTTCAGGGGAAAAATAGGGAATTTTCATGTCAAAAAATTACAATTTTAGAGCTAAAAATAGGCAATTTGAGGTGTGAAAATTGGGGATTTCAAGTCAAAATGAGAAATTTTAGCTCGAGATGTCTTTTTTGAAGCCAAAAAATGCCCAATATCATGATTTTGAAGCCAAAAAATGCCCAATATCAGATAAAAATTTGGGTTAAAATTTGAGTTTTTTGTCGTTTTTTGAACTCAAAATTGTTATTTTTAGGCTTAAAATGGTCTATTTTGAGGCCAAAAATTGCCAATTTTTTCGGGGCAAAAGTTGAAAAATGGCCGGAAAATAAAGGATAAAAAATCTCGAGGAAAAAAAGAGGATCATCAATAAAAGCTGGATTTTTTGGGGAGCAAATCAACTCGAAAACGGCATTTTTAGAGTTGAAAATAAGGGATTTCAGGGTAAAATTGGGGCAAAACATAGATTTTTACAGAGCAAAAATTGGAGAAAATTCCAATTTTCGGAGCTAAATTCTCAATTTTCAGCCAAAAAACCGACAATTTCAGGGCTAAAAATAAGGGATTTTTAGGGTAAAAATTGGGGGAAAAATCACGATTTTTAGTGATTTTTAGAGGTCAAAAATTTTGGGAAAATGGGGAAAATTCAAAGTTCGAAATATGGAAAATCAGGGGAAAATCACTGAAAAATGTCATTTTTTGAGTCGAAAAATTGAATTTTCCAGCTCAAAAATCAATGTTTCTAGCTCAAAAAGCCCACTTTGAGCCCAAAAATTCAAATTTCAAGTCGAAAAATGACATTTCCAGGGTGAAAAAGTGCAAAAATGGTATTTTTTGAGTCATTTTTCAGCAATTTCAGACAATATGAATTATTAAAGGCAATAAATATAGAAACTTCAGATTTTCAGACAATTAAAGTTTTCAGTTGACACGTGGCAACTCGTTGAATATCTTGAATACATGATGGTTGAGCTCGTGCTTCTCGGGCTCGGTGAATCGTCTCAGGTAGCCGTCGGCCTCCTTCAGCGTCTTCTTACTGTACCAATCGATACGCCCACGCAGGTCCATTAGGCAGCATTCGACCTGGGAAATTATTGATTTTTTGGAATAAAAATGAATTTATTAAGCCAAAAAAAATGAAATTTTAAAAGTTTCTGAAAATCTATAGAATTTGGGAATTTCTATGAAAAAAAATTAGGGAAAATTGGGACATTTTGGCCTGAAAAAGTCGCGTTTTTAAGCCAAAAATCGCCATATTCAGACACTCACAATTAGCTGAAAATTTGGGATTTAAGCTCAAAAATGCCGAATTTTTCAGAACTTCAGCATTTTCAGATCGATAAAAAACTCACATCAATCACCTTCCCCTTCCACGTCTCGTAATCATCGGCCATTCGGATTTTATCCAAAAATCGCATCAGGAATATAGGAACCTGGTCGTTGAGGTTCTCAAACTCCGCGAGGCGCTCCAGCATGTCACTGAAAAGTGGAAATTTTCGAAAAATTAGGGATTTAAGAAACAAAATTGAGCTGAATAGGTCAAAAATGTCAATTTTTTAACCGAAAAATCTTAAATTAGAAGTTTAAACATCCCATTTTTCCACCAAAAAATGTCAATTTTTGCTTTAAAATCCCAGATTTTAAACCAAAAAATGGCAATTTTCGCTGCAATATCACATTTTTGGACCCGAAAATCTCAATTTTCAAACCTAAAATCCGACTTTTTTGCTTTAAAATGTCAATTTTGCGCATAAAATCCCGCTTTTCTAGCTAAAAATGTCAAAATTTCACTTTGAAAATGCGTTTTCCCCTAATTTTGAGGCTTAAAAACTCTCGAAAATGAGCAATTTTGAGCCAAAAAATCAGATTTCTAGGCATTTTTGCCTGCTTTTTAAGCTATTTTGGGCTATTTCAAGCAATTTTAAATCAATTCTGAGCAATTTCAAGTCGGTTTTGAGCAATTTTCAGGTGTTTTTGAGCTATGTTATGCTATTTTAGAGCTATTGGGAGCTATTTTTGAGGCTAAAAACCCATATTGATGGGCTGATAATTACTGAATTATCCCTAAAAATCTCAATTTTAAGGCCAAAACTTTAGATTTTGGACCTAAAAATACTGAATTTCGGACTATATTTTAGCGCTACAAAATCCCGTTTTTTGGTTTTTCTGAAAAAGTCGACTTTAGGCTCAAAAACGCCATTTTTGGACGACTTCAAAAATTGTCAATTTTGGGCCTAAAATTCGTAATTTGCAGGCTTGAAAGCCAATTTTAAGACCTGAAAATCCCAATTTTTTGGCTCAAAAATGGGCTCCTGGACGTTTCAGAACCCGACGTTTCGGAACCACGACGTTTCAGAACCCGACAGTTCAGAACCCGACGTTTCAGAACAAGATGTTTCAGAACTTTTCTGCATTTTTGTATAGTGGTGTTTATGCACCAAATGAGCATTGCTCATTTCAATTTTGTGTTTTTCTGCTTTTTTGTTCATTCTCATCTACCGTACTCCAAATAATGATAGGTTCACACTGGGTATCTCTCAAACAATCGAAAAAATTGAACTTTTCAAGAACGATGTCTTGAAGTACGCAATAATTTTTCCGGCGAATAGAAGTCTCATTTTGAATGGTTTTATTAATGACATCGTTTTTGAAAAGTTCAATTTTTTCGATTGTTTGAGAGATACCCAGTGTGAACCTATCATTATTTGGAGTACGGTAGATGAGAATGAACAAAAAAGCAGAAAAACACAAAATTGAAGTGAGCAATGCTCATTTGGTGCATAAACACCACTATACAAGAATGCAGAAAAGTCGGGTTCTGAAACGTCCAGGAGCCCAAAAATGCCAAGTTTACCCTAATTTTAGCCCTAAAAAGTACTAATTTATCCCTGAAAATCTCAATTTTTCAGCTCAAATTTGTCAATTTTGGACCTAAAAATACTGAATTTCGGACTTGAAACCCCCCGGATTTTTCAGATCAAAAAAGTCTGTATTGGAGCTGAAAATCCAGTTTTTTTGGCTCTGAAAAACGCCAGCCTTTCAGGACTTCAAAAATAGGTCAATTTTGGACCTAAAAGTCGTAATTTGCAGGCTTGACAACCAATTTTAAGACCTTAAACTTCATATATTTTTCTTTCTAAAATGACTAATTTGTCTCTGAAAATTTCAGCTTTTTGAGCTCAAAAACATCATTTTCGGACCTAAAAATACTGAATTTCGGCCCCATAAAACCCGGATTTTAGACCTAAACATCACCAATTTCCTCAGCTCAAAAATGGCAATTTCAGTCAAAATTGGATTGGAGGCTTAGCCAGATTTTTCAGCCCAAATTTCTGCCAATTTTAGGCCCTAAAAGTGGCTATTTTAGCCACAAAATCTCATTTTTAATGCTATAACTGCCAAATTTGCCTAATTCGGGTCCTAAAAATGCCAAATTCACCCCCCTAGAATCCAAATTTTCGCCCCAAAAATCCCAATTTCGCTACCTAAACAACTGCCCAAAATTGCCCATTTTGGGACCTGAAAACCTCAAATTTTCGACTTAGAAATGCCTATTCTAGCATCGAAATCCAATTTTTGGCTCTACAAATGACTAATTTATGCCTAGAAAATCTCAATTTTTCAGCTCAAAAACGTCAATATTGGACCTGAAAACTCGATTTCTCAGTTCAAAAATCTTAATTTTGTGCCTGAAATCTTTACTAAAAAGCTGAAACCCCAGCAGCTCAAAAATGTCTATTTTGGACCTAAAAATAGCTATTTTAGCCTCAAAAATGCGAATTTCGGATCTGAAAATGCCTACTTTCCACTAGAAAACTGTCAATTCGAGGTCTAATAATGTATCATTTTTGAACCTAAAATCCCCCTATTTTTTCGCTTAAAAATGACTGATTCGGCCCTGAAAATCCCTATTTTTCAGCTCAAAATTGCCAATTTTAGGGTCTTAAAATTCAAAATTTCGCACTAGAACTGGCTATTTCAGCTGCGAAATCTCATTTTTAAGGCCAAAACTGTCAAATTTGGCAGTATAGCCTCTATTTTAGCCTCGAAAAACGTCAATTTTCGATCAAAAATTTAAATTTTTCGGCCTAAAACACTCAATTTCAAACCAAAAACTCCCACTTTTTGGCTCTAAAAGTGGCGATTTCAGCTAAAAAAGTAGCCAAATTTACCCTCAAAAATCCCCATTTCCCACCTAAACAACTGCCCAATCTCTCCCTTCAAATCCGCCTCGGTCGCCTGTTCCAAAATCGTAAAAGCCGTCGATAGAGCGCAATTTCCAAAGTTCTTCCGAACTTTATCATCTGTGATTTTGAGCTCCTCGTGCACGAAAATATAGACGGCGAAGTGGAAAATCGATAGGGCCAGTTGGGTGGGCAGTTCGATTTTTTGCAGGAAGCACTCGGTCCAGAAGTTCAGAATGTAACGCGTCGATTCGCCAACCTGAAATACGGATTTTGGATGATGTTTGAGCATTTTTCGAGCCATTTTGAGCTATTTCAAGCCATTTTGAGCCGCATAAAATTTTGATTTTTCGCTCATTTTTTGTCGGAAATATCACAATTTCGGCTTATTGAATAGGTCAAAAAAAAAAATTTAAACCTAAAAATGGCAATTTTCGCTGCAAAATCACATTTTTGGACCCGAAAATCTCAATTTTCAAACCTAAAATCCGACTTTTTGGCTTAAAAATGTCAATTTTGAGCATAAAATCCCGCTTTTCTAGCTAAAAATGACAAAATTTCACTTTGAAAATGCGTTTTCCCCTAATTTTGAGGCTTAAAAACTCTCGAAAATGAGCAATTTTGAGCCAAAAAATCAGATTTCTAGGCATTTTTGCCTGCTTTTTAAGCTATTTTGGGCTATTTCAAGCCATTTTAAAGCCATTTCAAAGCTATTTTGAGCAATTTTAAGTCAGTTTTGAGCTATTTTGAGGTGTTTTTGAGCTGTTTCAAGCCATTTTTGAGCTATTTTTAACTATGTTAAGCTATTTTTAAGCCGTTTTCGAGCTATTTTCAGCTATTTTAAGCCTCTAAAAATCAAGGATTTCAGTGAAAATCCAGTCTGAAAATATAAATTTCAGTCCGAAAATGATCCAATTAGCATATTAAAAAATCTCAAAAATCCAAACTTTCCAGCCAAAATAATGGGTTTTCCGACCCTAAATACCCTATTTTAAGCCTCTAAAATCTCGATTTTTGGGAGATTTTGAGCCGAAAATGAGCACAAAATTCAAAAAAAAAAGCACCTACAGTATGCGGAATGATTGATTGCTCCGAGTCGCCGTACAGATCGCCTTCGCAGATTGCCGTCGTGTACATCTGGAAAAGAGTGAAAAAAATATGCCATATTGGGTTGAAATTTGAAGATATTCCGTGCCAAAACTGCTATTTTAGCCTCAAAATTGTCATTTTTTGTTGAAATTGGCTTAAAAAAAGTGATTTTTTCAGTGAAATTTGCGATTTTTAAACTAGAAATTGACATATTTGGGCTTAAAATTGGCAGTTTTAGGTCTGAAAATTGACATTTTCCGGACTCAAGAGGCCAGTTTTGGGTCTTGAAATCATTGGATTTTTACTTGAAATTGATATTTTTGAGCTCAAAATCATCATTTTTGGATTAAAAATTCCCTATTTCTAGGTTTAGGGCAGCTATTTTACATCTTAAAATCGTCATTTTTCGTCTGAAAATCATTGATTTTGGCTTAAAATAGGCATTTTAGGTCTGGAAATGCAACAATTAAGGTCTTAAAAATGCTTTTCTGGGTTCAAAATCGCTATTTTTTCTCAAATTTGACATGTCCCAAGTAGTCGAAAAAATTAGCCATTTTTAGGTCCTAAAATTTGCATTTCTCGGGCCTTAAAATGTTTATTTTTCGCTAAAAATCGCCGTTTTCGTGGTGGCCATAAATCTCAATTTTTGGGCTAAAATCGCCATTTTTAGACTCAAAACCGTCAATTTTAGGTAGTATAAAATTGCTTTTTCTAGGCGTTTCGAGCTTCAAAAATCCAATTCTCGAGGCCAATTCCAACACTTTTCTACCTCCAGAATCCTCAAATTCCGATTGAACTGCAAGATATCGGGATTGTGAGCATCGATCAGTGCCAATTGCATTTCCGTATGGTTCAACTGGATCACCAGTTTCGCAAACGATTTATCAATATTGAACCATCCGATGCCGGCGACACGTGTCATCGACGAAATCACATCCCAAAGAAGCTGTCGGAGGTCCTTCGTGAATTTCTCGGGTCGTTCTTGTAGAAGACGTCGAACGATCGACAGAATTCCGATGGTCCACATACGATTGTCGAAACTCTCAGCTGAAACTTTTGACAGGGTTGGATGACGGTGGAGATGACACTTAAAATTGACCAAAGTTGGCTAAAAATGGTCCAAAATCAGCGGAAAACGGTCGAAATTGGCTTAAAATGGCTTAAAATAGGTTAAAATCGGTCAAGATTGGCATAAAATTGCCCAAAATGGGATCGACATTGACCAAAACGGACCGAAAATGATCGAAAATCGGCTTGAAATTGGCTTAAAATCAGCTTTGAATATCGAAAATTGTTAAAAAATAGCTGAAAGGCTCGAAATTGTTTCAAAATGAGCTGAAAAATGGTCCTGAAACGTTAAAAATGATCTGAAATAAGCCTAAAATAGCTGGAAATCGTCCGAAAGCGCCGAAAAAGGATCGACAATGGATTACTAAAAAAATGGTCTAAAATGAGCAAGGTTTGGCCTGAAAATGAGCCTGAAATGGTCCAAATTAGGCCGAAACTAGTCAAAAATGATTCAAAATCGCGTGAAATTAGTCAAAATGGTCCAAAAATAGGCCGCAAATGGTGCAACATGGTCCGAAATGGCTATAAATGACTCGAAAATAGTCGAAAATTAGCTTGAAATTGGCTTAAAATGGTTCAAAACTGACATAAAATTGCTTAAAATTGACCAAAATGCGTCAAAATGAGCATTTTTGAGCTAAAAAACCAAACTTTTCGGGCAATTTGAAGCCAAAATTTCGGTTTTTCGGCCAATTTTTTAGCTTTTCAATGCTTAAAAATGTCTCCAAACTCCCCAAAACCCCCCCCC